GATTGACAGGCACGAAAACCTCACCATTCTGATGGGAGGTCTAAACGCCGAAGTCGGAATGAACGACACCGGTTATGAAGATATCAGGGGATAATACGGACTGGGGGTGATAAACGAAAATAGTGAGAGGGTTCTGCAAATCCATGCACAGTATCCTTACACAAACGTGTACACAAAGCATATTGGAACTCACCGAACCACACCACAGAGAACCAGATAGATGATATTTATATCAATAAAAAATTCATGAGGACAATGGAAGACGTGAGAACCAGGAGAGGAGCTGACAAAGCTTCAGATCACCGCCTTGTTGTAGCCAAGATAAAACCAAAGCTTAAGAAACATTGAACAACTGGGGGAATTGCATTACAAAAGTTCAATATGGTCTTCCTTCGAGATACTAACAAACTCAACGATTTCAAGATGACTCTCAACAAAATGTTTCAAGCTTCAAAGGATCTATTGATAGAAGAAACTACCATGAAGGACAACCTGAAAGGTATCAAAGAAGCATTAACTTACCTGGTGAAAAAACCAAAGTAAGTTAAAATGTTGCTACTAATTTATGTCCTCAAGATAAAATGTGCTCACTTTTTTTGCTTTCATTCACTTAAGTCACATAAAAATGCTAGATATTACACACATTATCACTTGAGTAGTATATGTGTCTCGAATTCGTGAAAACTATCTTATCCCTGTAAAGGAGGAAAGAGGGACATATGATGATGTTTAAATCAATTATAACTGTAAGGACGAGAAGTCAGTGATTTTAAATGTTTCAGGCAAAAAATGGCAAACCATATATTAATTCGCTTCTTGTTAAAGCAATACACTGAGCAGGCTTTCAGATAGTGTCCCAGACCGTAATGAAGAAAGTGTGGTGATACCACGGTTTAGGCTTTTTGACCAGCGATTCTCGTTCGTTACCTCCTGAAGCGCTGCCACACACGTTAGGATATAAAAGTTTCTATTTGAACTTGATAGGGGTCTTGACAAATCAAGGCGAAAATAGTCTAAACGAGATCCCAGTTGACACTTGTTGTGTCCATTCACTTTAGAGTTCTGGCAGCTCACACATGAATGTGCTTAGTCCCTCACGTCCTTGTTTATAGCAGGCCAGCAAAATCGTTCTGCTTCGAAATTGATAGTCACTCGAACACGTTGAAGAGGAAGTTGGAGCAACGAATTGAAGAAATTGCATCCATAGTGTTTTGCCACGATCGAACTACCTTTCTCGGAAGACGTGCTGCATAGCACAATTTCATAAACTGTTGCCATCTGTTCGATCGGTAGTTTTTGGGTTGTCGAGAGTACCCCGTGCTGACGAGCATCGTCTTGCTTTTGAAGTTGATCGAGTTCAAGGAGGTCGAAACTCGTTCAAGGAAGTGATACGAGACAATGCGTCTGCCACTACATTGTTTTTCCTGAAATACGTTGAATATCTGAAGTAAGTTGCGAGACGTTGTTCAGTTGTCCAGATTATCGTGTCGAGAACTTGTTTGAAGATGAGTCGACAGAATTATTTGGAGATTTACGGGCGGTGAACAGAGTGAATGCCGTACAACACAATTGATAAGTAGGAGTTCTCTACGGAAAGTGCTGTACCTCGATTCAATTTCTCATATTCATCTCGAGACTGCACAGGATTTTTCGGTGTTATTTACTCACTGTGGTAAAACTACTCATGTTGCTGAATCCGATTTGTCTACTGCGATACTAATGGATGCTTTGGTGGCTCGATGTACATTGATAATTGAATCTGTGATACTGATGCTTACACAGCTAACCAGATGGTGTGTGTCTCACCGTAAAGAGTGGCTTTGCTCACAGACGTTTAACGGTTTCGCAAAATTACTCTTTAGTTATAGGAAGAAAAATATACCCAACACTCAACAGTGAAAAAATGTGCTCATGCACTCGCCAGTTTGAATATTCTGCCTGTATTTAGAGTTTTTAGGTGTTAACGGCTCAGTGACACCGCGGTTTAGCAAACGGTCTTACTGCATGACTATTGACCAGCAATAAATGTGATACTGCTTCTGCTCTTAACTATCTAGCGCACTCTAACCATCAGCGTTTTCCATAATCACCCAAACTTTGCACAATTTTCCTACATGAAAATCTGTATTTCTTGTCAAACTCGCAGTTAGTCAGAAATGGCTAAACGAATTGCATAGAGTCTAGAGATTCCAATGCTTAGAAGTGGAAGCTCTGTCAGACCATCTTCTCTATATTACCTATTTTGCTCTGTTGAATGAAGAATTTTTTTCTTCTAAGTGGTAGTACACCGTTCTTTGTTTGCCCTCAGTGTTGTTTAAAAGACATCTGGAATCTAACGCTATCAACTTATAGTTCCCATTATCAATTCGTCTCATTCCTTGCTTGTATTATTGCCGACTGTTATTGATTACCTTATCAGATAAGTTCACTCTATAGGTTTATTGAGCCGTTGGCTCAATTTTACTATTGTCCTTCTTCTCTTCAGCTTAAATAACTGTTTGCTGAGAAACTAAAATGAGAATTATGCCATATTTTAACCTAGAACTCTCTACTACCATCGAGATGCAGATCCCAAGGTGCAAATAACTCCATTTCCGATCAGTAGCGTTTGAAAGATTGAGGGAACAACTGACCTCGTTAATTAAGTACAAAATCTTCTCTAAGAGAAATTGGCAGTAACGTTCCAAACAGCTTCAAGTCATGGGGTGAAATATATACGCTACATATCGCCACGTATGTGATAGGATTTTCAAATTCGACTCCTATCTTGCATGCTTTAAGCATTAACTGACGATCCCTCAAATATATGGCTACTTAGCTTTTCGAAATAGATGCTGGTTTTACCAGCTCAAGGGTGCAGAACCAGTTCATTAAACTGCTACAAGCCAGAGAGCATGAAACTCAGATTATTCCTAAACTAGCTATACCGTTCACTCTACAGTATCTAGCTAAATGCACAGTATGCTATTCTATATGTAAGTTCAAACTGTTAAAGCATTTTGTTGGGATTTTATGACCTTTGTAGCAGTATAAATCAATTATATTAGTGAACAGTTGAAAGTTTTCAACCTGCTATCCTCTTTGATTACTACTACTAGTCAGGTTAGGTTATTGTTCTAGTCATAAGTATGTATAGCACCTACTATTGTCATTTCGAAGATCAGTGAATTAATAAATTGTGGGATGGATTCCACTTTTATAAGTTTATGGAACACCTATTTGTCATCCTTAATTAATGCTTGCTTCGACGTTGAGACACAAAACCGAGTTCATAATTACTCATTATCACGATGTACGTTGCTCTGCGAATATGCAAAGCACGAAGATATAAACTTATGCTTGTAAGGTCGTGTGGTGATAAGTTCCCTATGTAGATCCAAATAAAAAATAGTAAAAGCCTGATGTTTTCAGCAAGTACACTTACTCCTAAAACACTGAACCAGCAATAAATAGACAATACTTTCTGTAACATCTATCCTATTCCACACTTCCCAAAATGTCAATCTTAAGACTTTGAACGCTACAATTAACACGTATGGTGAAAGTCCATGAAAAAAATGTTTATTATATATATTTTTCTTTGACCAACCGTAGTGACGTACATAAACATTCACATTAACGTTAAAAGTCTATTGTTCTCAAAGACGAGAGTTTAAAACATTGAAATATACGGTATTAAGCTACAAGTTTTTATTGATTCAGAAGTTAAAAAAAGAAAAAAAAATTATGGAGAAATAAAACGGAAGTTTCTCCAAATATTCATTTGTCATCACATATCAACGAACATATAATAAAAAATAGCTAGTAATTTCATAAATGTATTTAAAGAATATCTTATATCATAATACACTGAAATGATTGAAAATCACCATGAAGAATTCCAGTTACTTTACAGAGATGAGGTACCAAAATATATTCAGAAATAATTATGATATAATTCACAAGGAAAAGTATAAAATACAGTCAAATGAATAGCTGCACCAAAAAGTAGTAGAAAAGCATATACATAATTAAATATTTTGTCTTATGAAAGCGAGATTTATAAAACATGCTTTGTGTCAAATCTTTCCACGAGAAAAGTAAAGACATTAAAAAATCAAAAGCGTTTAGTGCATGAAAAATTACACGTTTTGGCAATCTCAAAAAGTGACGCGTATATTGAATATTTCTAAATCTCCAATCCAGATAACCGGATTAAAATCGTAGTGATATCCCTTCATATTTGGAAGTGAACATCATGAATGGTTTTGTTAAAGAACTCAGCGGACAGTAACGTTTCAATTCCGTATGATTTTTTAAGACGACTACCTAAATCAAAGTAAAAAGCATTGGAGATTCGCTTTAATCTATATAACAATCAAAAAATAATAAACAACAAATGGTAAAGTATAAACTGAGAAAAGGCTAATGTTTGCATTGATTTTAAATACAATCGATTAGATTGAGATGATGATTGGTTTTGGTACAACTTTCGATTATCTGAAAAGGACTCAAACCTAGCGAAAAGGAGCAATTGTTTCATTAAATTTAGTTTTTAGCTACTATTATTAGCTCTTTTGAATATTATATTTTTGATAAAATATAGAATTCTCAGCAAAAAGTATTTCAGCGAGTTTCTGTTTCTTATTTCTGGGTCGATATTGACGATAAATATTGAATGATCGCTAGTTAGATAATATAAATACTTTGGAAGTCGACCTCTGAATAATATTTATTCTTTTCAATGTATATTCCCAGTCATCACAATGTTTCTGATTGTAAATTTTTGTAACTTGCTCAGTGAAAGGTAGTACACTTTTCACAAACGCACCTGAATTGGTTATTGATTTAATTAACATAAATATCTGTTAAAACAAAAAAAGGAAACAGATAACTTGTTGAAATATCTAAATGACAGGAACAGGTATCCCAGATATTCAAGCAAGCCGCAAACGATGAGCCGCCTGTTTCTCAGCCAATAAATAGAAATCTAGTGGAGAGCTTCGTTAACCAACTGAATTAACCAACAAAATAGTGCTGTGATTCGGTACTACATATGAGTAATGTGTAGCTACACAATTATGAATCAATCAATAGTGACCATGTGTGATGCATAATTTTATCATTGCAGTCAAAAAGAACAAAATATTACTGAATAATTTGGCTGTAAGACTACCACTAATCACTTGCCCGATTGGTAGCTCTGGAAAACTGAATGATTCAATATCCCTGTTTATAAAATGACATCAACTATTAATTAGAACGCTTAGTGTTTTGGAGTATCCTTTTTATTTCAAGGCCTATGTGATCCACTGAATTAGTTGTAATTACGTATATGGCTCCATTCTCTACCCTCTTGAAACATCATGTGTTCAATCGATTGGGTATTGACTTCCTATACGCTTTCTAGTTATCAAATATCTACTCCATTTGATCTTTTAGCTGAAAACAAACGACGGGAAGAATGAAAAGAGGTTTACTTTGAAAATGAGTCCGTATACAACAAACAAGTGTACTTATGGACTATATGACGCTGAGATTCTCGAAGCTAGTACAATATATGCTAAAATTAATAGAGAATTATCTTATAAGGATTATGAAAACATGGTCTATCATCTCTGAAAGCTAATCGGTTAGTGTATATAACACATGTTCACAGCATGTTATTCAAGGAATCATCAAAGCCACCTATCACGTCTAGAGACCCAACATTGTTTTTTTTTAATGTTTTGTATTATTAATGATACGTTTACTTCGACTAACGAGATTACTATCCTGTTAGATCATTCTGGTTATCTTGATAGGATTTGGGAATCTAAGGAAATTCAAATTTGTGCTAGATTCTACGGTACTATAAGTGAGAAGTGCATCTCAAATAGTTTATAAGACAAATAATTGAAAGCGCTTTATTAATGAATTTCATAAAAAACTATATTTGATAAAAAAATTAAAAAAAACTGAAATATCTCAAATACATAATAGTCTCAAACAAGGAAATATATATAATTTGCATTTTACTAACCTTCTTGCTATGGTTACTAAATTCTGAATCACATAAATGTTCCTCACTCGATATTATTTGAACTACTAATTTTCTTCTTGTACATGATGAAGGATCAATATACTCCTATATTCAGAATTAAATTATAAATGAGTTACAATGAAACTTTCAATTGATTGTATTTCAGTGAATAAGAAATACTCTAAAGATTAGTAAATCATTCACGATACATAGACATATATCTTTTATTATTTCATAAACTATACAGTCCTATCCACTTTTAATTTAGTAATACTATGTGACAGTTTAAAACTAAGTATATCAGAGAGAAATTTGAACATTTAAATCTGTAGTTAAAATTTAAGTACTATTGAACTAATATCAGAAGGGGTTTTGTGGATATTATAGTAATTTAATATTTGAGATCATGAGTTCGAATCTCGCGTGGCGGGATCATGGATGCGAACTGCTGAGGAGTACCACAATAGAACGAAACGGACGTCCAGTGCTTCCAGGTTTTCCATGGTGGTCTAGCTTCAATTTACTCATGATCCCAACTATTAAATTACTATTGAATTATCAAATCACCAGACAATTCATTTGTTTACTAAATGATATAAACTCGATGAAATAAACTAAGTTTATGTTGATCCAATAACATTCAATCATTTCAGTTGATTTCAATAGTTGAAATCATTAGTCAATTTAAACTAGACCATCATGGAAAACCTGGGAGCACTGTACGTCCGTTTCGTCCTAGTATGGAATTCCTCAACAGTGCGCAGTCATGATCTCACCACACGCGAGATTCGAACCCAGGACCTATCAGTCTCGCGCGCGAGCGCTTAACCATTAAACCAGTGAGTAGGCATCTACAAATACATATACTTGTTTTAAATCGTTTTCATAAAGCAATTGTTATTTATCATTACAAATAGTCAAACGAAACAGATCAAAATAAACAAGGAGAAGATGTTAGTGAATAAAGTTTTCTTCTTCAGTTATACATACTTTGAAGAAATTGATAATGTTATTCTTTTTGAGTGATTTCAATACACTAACCGCATGTACATCTGAGAACAAAGTTAAGAAATTAAAATAAAATATTTACAAATTATCTAAAGAATTATTAATCGCTTTCATTATTTTGAAACTTTTAAATGTTTAATATTAACATCTTGGCGTAAATTAGATAAAAATATATCAGTGAACAAAATTGTTTTTCACTTGATCAAAATCAAAATCTATCCCGATTCATAATTTATATGAGCGAATATATATATATATATATATATATATATATATATATATATATATATATATATATATATATATACTATGGGCTTCAGTCATTTTGGTTGGGTTCAGAGTATATATACCCGACTGAAGCTGTTACCTTGACGCGGTGGTCGGGCTTGCCTATCGTGAAAACCCAACCGAGCTATATTGTCTGGAACACATATTCCTGTAGGTTCTACCATGCCAGGCAGGTCGATTGGTGAACGGCAAGACTAAAAGCAGCAACTCGAGGTCTGAGGGCGAAGTCGTACTGCTGACTGTAGAGAGGTGTGACAGCAGTAAGGTGTTTCCTTCAGACAACCAGCATGGCAGCGATGCTGCCTTCTCACAAGGAATGAGGTGGTTAGAATACGTCGACCCTAAAAATGTCACACCTTACCTCACGGATTTCCGTCTCCGGCGGTAAGACTCTTTGAAGAACGGAGCTAACACGTCAAAAACCTTCCACAAAAAGGCCGTGCGCGACCGGCCTCAAACAGTTGTCCCTTGGGCTCTGCGGTCACGCTCCAAGGTCGTCAAGACCAACACTAATCCAATTTCCTTTTCAGGTTCCTCAAGAAACACCCTTCCACGGTGTGGGCAGCCGGGAAGTGACATCAGCCCTCATACCCGTAACAGCACAAGAGACCAAGGTGGTCACATTCAAATCCTTCCTAATCCTCCTAATACCTCTCCTTAGCTAGGACTTTAGAATCTCGCGCCATTGATGTGTGCTGCGTCTCCGAAACGCGCATACAGGATCCAGGTAGCGTCATTCATTTGACCTCACCATGCCAAAATAAAGAACCGACTCGATTCACACATCGTGTATCTGGAAACCCTGATTCTGCTTCCCGTGGCCTCGTCGGCGTAGGTATAGCATTGAGTCCTAGGGCAAAACTAGCTCTCTTAGAATGGATCCCAGTAGACAGTCGTTTGTGTGCTGTCCGACTAAACGGAACAGTAAGAATCCGGAAAGATAGGGACACTCGTCGTTGCCTCTTCGTCGTCTCTGCCTATTCTCCCACTGACTGCTGCTCAGATGATGTGAAAGATGAGTTTTACAGAAAGCTTTCGGACCTTCTCCGAAAAGCTAAGTGCTCGGATGTAGTAATAGTGGCCGGTGACTTTAATGCTCAAGTAGGTAAACTAAGCGATAGGGAAAGACACCTAGGTGGACCTTATGGTGTCGTGGCTCAAAGAACAGATAATGGCGACCGGCTGTTGCAGCTATGCTCAGATAATCGCTTGTTCCTTGCAAATACTAGCTTTAAGCATAAGGAAAAACATCTTTTAACTTGGCGACGCCCTAATTCGTCCCAACGTTAGACCCAAATAGATCACATCGCTATCAGCCACCGATGGAGGGGCTCGATAGAAGACTGTCGCTCATTCTGGAGCACTTGCCTAGATTCAGATCATGCTCTAGTGCGAGCGCGTATTTGCTTGCGTCTTACTGGACGTAGGAAAGATCCTGCAAGGAAACCTCCTAGGGGCCTACTTAATGATAGTCAAGCTAAGAGTATATTTCAGGAACAACTAGGAAAACAGTTAGGCAGCCATGTATGTGATGCCCACCCTGAGACAGCATGGAATGATATCCGAAAAGCTGTGGAAACAGCAGTGATATCTGCTAGTAAGGTAAACCAGAAGGTTAGGGAGCAACACTGGATCTCAGCAGCATCTATCGCACTGATAGATGCTCGGAAACTCATTCCACCTGGCTCTGAACATAATGAAGAGCGGAGTCAGCTTAAGCGCAAGCTGAAAAGAAGTCTACGCAATGATCGCGAACAGTGGTGGGTAGCGAAAGCAAGAGAGATGGAAAAGGCAGCGGCAATAGGTAATAGCAGACAATTGTTCAGACTCGTTAAGGAAACCGTAATTAGGAACCCGACCGTTAGCGAAACAATCTCAGAGAAAGATGGACGTATTATTCACTCTCAATCCAGGAGATTGGATCGATGGGCAGAACACTTTAGGGATCAGTTCAACTGGCCTTCAGCCGCACTTCGGTTTCCCACGATCTCCAGTCAACCTGAATGGCAAGTTAATGTAGGTCCTCTGTCCCTTTACGAAGTTGAAAAAGTCATAGGAAATCTGAAGCGAGGGAGAGCAGCAGGCCCTGACAGGTTTACTCCTGAGATTCTTAAGGATGGTGGTCCAGTATTAGCAATGAGATTAACCGAGGTCTTAGGTAGAATTTGGGAACTGGACGTAATCCCATCTGACTGGTCTCAATCACTGATTGTGCCAGTCTATAAGAAAGGACAAAAGTCCTCTTGTGACAATCACAGAGGAATCAGTTTGACTAATATAGTGTCTAAAATATTAGCTTCAATAATACTTCGACGCCTAATCAAAGCTCGTGAAGAGCAGATTAGAGAAAACCAGGCCGGTTTTCGACCTGGACGTGGTTGTATAGATCAGATATTCACACTACGTCAGGTCCTAGAACACAGACACACATTCAGACGCCCCACAATGGTAGTATTTCTCGACCATAAGGTGGCATTCGACTATGTTGATCGTAAGGTTCTATGGCAGTGTTTGTCACTGAAAGGAGTACCAAAGAAGTACATTAACCTTATAAAGGCTCTCTACTCGAACACGACTGGTAGAGTGAGAGCTTATGGCGAACTGTCATCAGAATTGATTACCTCAAGTAGTGTTCGTCAGGGCTGTCCACTCTCCCCATTCTTGTTCAACTTTGTGGTCGACGTACTTTTAGAGATAACACTCTCCTCATTTAAATTTCCAGAGGTTGAACTTCTACCGGGAGATTCAATTTTTGACCTAGAATATGCCGATGACAGTTTTATTCGGTGAAGACGCTGACAAAATTCAGAGTCTTCTAACCACTCTAAGCAACAATACAAGCATATTCAGGATGCGTTTCTCCCAGTCTAAATGCAAAATGTTGCTTCAGGATTGGGTTACATCGACACCCGAACTAGTGATAGGGAGTGAAGTAGTTGAGTGTGTCGACCGCTTCACTTTTCTTGGAAGTCTCATCAGCCCTTGTGATCTGGTGTGTGACGAAATCTCAGCAAGGATACAGAAGGCTCGACTAGCTTTTACCAACTTGCGTCATTTATGGCGTAGGCGAGATATTTGTCTATCAACCAAATGACGTGTTTACTGTACAGCAGTTTGTTCCGTCCTACTTTATGGCAGTGAAACATGGCCGGTAAGAGTAGAGGATATTCGTAGGTTACTAGTATTTGATCATAGTTGTCTTCGAAACATTGCTCGTATATTCTGGGACCATCGAGTAAGTAACACAGTTGTTAGGAAACGGGTACTAGGTAAGAATGGCAAATCAATTGATGAAGTAGTGAAACGTCATCAGTTGAGATGGCTGGGACACGTGTTACGTATGCCCAACGACCGACTGCCTCGACGTGCGATGTTCAGTGGTGTAGGAGTAGGTTGGAAGTAAGCTTGGGGCGGCCAGACCAAGACCTGGCACAAATCCATGAAGTCACTGACAAGTGGACTGAGTCATGTTGGTAGGTGTAGACTACCTGGTTGGGGACCACGAGATGATAGCAACCGATGGTTAGAGACCCTGAATGACATGGCTCAAAATCGTTTGCAATGGCGCAGGTGCATCCACTCTCTGTGTTCTCCCAAATTCTAATCTTCTGACTTCTTCATGTCCCTTTCTTTTTTCTCTTTCCAAATTCATTTCATTGGATTATACTCCTTGAGTAACATCTTCGAACTGTAATCTTCCTGATTACAGCTTATAATTTGACTACGTCTAGCACTACGGGATTTGAATCGACAACTGCATCTCTGTGCTAATGTGGTGTGGCAACTCGAACTGATGTACGTACGTACGAAGTTCTACGTTGTTACTGACTGACTGACTGAGAGTATATATACAATATGATTAATGAAATATGTAGGTGATCTAGAATCTCATTATGCAGAACAAATATTTCCAATTATGAAGGAGGTCAAAACGTCTGAAATATAAACAAACTTAGCCAATCAATAATTTCTAAAATTACTTTGTACTTATAGAAAATCAGTGTAAATCAATTAAAGAGGTACCGCTTTTTTCCAGTTTTGACATACTTCATATGTTCAAATATTTGTTCACTATATGACGGTAATTTTATTAGTCGTATCACGGATATTAATAACTCTAACATAAAATACCTATGTTTATTCATAAGAATTGTATTGGTGGGTCGATACCATTGTTAATACTAATGAAAAAAGTATTCAGTGAGATTGCTGTTTAGATCTAAGTATGTTTACATTAAAAATTAATAAACTTACTTCGTTTGAAATTATAATGTCGACAAGCAATTTCAGACCATAAACGCCCAAATCGATCTTGCATACCTTTCGGTTTTTCCAGTAAGTGTGTCATGAGGGATTTCACGTGAACATTAAATTCTTCGTCAGACATATCTTCTAACAGTTTCTAAAATAACAATATGTAAGGAAAGTGAGAAGCGTGTATCAAGGAGTCTGTACGTAAGTACAAGCCATCATATTGGAAACGTGTACCTTATATGAGAGCATAAATGACAGGACGGAACAGAACAGACAACAATCCTTTACGTATACAGTTTTATGGAAGGAAAACAATCAGTAACACTCACATTTACAGTAAGTAGAAATTCTTCGATACATTTATCAATTTTATTAGGATGATAAGATGATTGCACTAAAATACGAAAACCTTGTAGTTTATTGGATCTTCGGAGTCCAGCCTGTACAATATAACCTTCAATGTGAACATGAAAAAATAAGAGAGAATAAAACGTCTATAGAATGGTCAATTTTAGGTTAATAAAATGTAAGTAAAATTTTAGTCAGTCAGTCAGTAACAACGTAGAACTTCGTACGTACGTACATCAGTTCGAGTTGCCACACCACATTAGCACAGAGATGCAGTTGTCGATTCAAATCCCGTAGTGCTAGACGTAGTCAAATTATAAGCTGTAATCAGGAAGATTACAGTTCGAAGATGTTACTCAAGGAGTATAATCCAATGAAATGAATTTGGAAAGAGAAAAAAGAAAGGGACATGAAGAAGTCAGAAGATTAGAATTTGGGAGAACACAGAGAGTGGATGCACCTGCGCCATTGCAAACGATTTTGAGCCATGTCATTCAGGGTCTCTAACCATCGGTTGCTATCATCTCGTGGTCCCCAACCAGGTAGTCTACACCTACCAACATGACTCAGTCCACTTGTCAGTGACTTCATGGATTTGTGCCAGGTCTTGGTCTGGCCGCCCCAAGCTTACTTCCAACCTACTCCTACACCACTGAACATCGCACGTCGAGGCAGTCGGTGGTGTGCACTACTTATGCTGACGGATGTAAGTAGTATGTAGCAGGAATTGGAAGTAGAATGTATTTAATATACGATCTTCATACTTTACAAATCTACTATTTAAAATTGCGTAAAACAATGAATTGGTCATCCCCAGCAAGTTTTCATTCACTACAATACTACTACTTAAATATAGGACAGATACGTAATACAAATGAATAGTTCAATGTGCAAAATGGTATGAAATAACTATGGAGAAATAAAGTCAGGGGCTAACGATGCAAAAAAAATTACCCGGTAACAGAACAACAATCCTTCTGTAAAACATAAAAATGGAATACACACCTTTACTTTCTGTCCATATTAAAAGTTAACCTTAATTACGATGTAAAACCAAATGCTGAACCACTTAAAACCAGGAAGTACTGAACATGTGACTGATCTCATCATATGACGTATTACAGGACTATAAACGCAAGATCACATAAAAACCACTGAATCTGAAAAAGCATAGGATAATATTGAGAAATGAGGTCAGAGTTCGGTTGACTGCAAATTAACCTTAAATTTAAAAGTTCATGAAACTAAATTATTCCGTAGTTTAATCACCATACCCAAGTATTCCTTTTCTAGTGGACAGTTAGATGATAATTAATAAATCAATGATTAGTGATGAAGTTATTTTCAATATTGAACAAATTCTATCGATCACTTTGCATTGTGGCCACTAGTCTAAATGACTAGGACTGTGTTCAGATATTTGTAATTTAGCCTTTTGTGTTACACCACAAGATTAAAATGCCAATGAAATGTATGAACTGGTCACCAAAGACACATATTCGTATTAGTTATTTGATAGTTAAGATAATTGAGAATTACTTATATCTTACTTACGTCTTTGACCCCCAAGGGAGCATAAGCCACCGACCAGCATTCTTTAAACCCAATCTATTCTGGGCCTTCCTTTCTAGTTCGATCCAACTGTTGTTCATTCTTCTCATGTCTGTCTCCATTTCTCGTAGTAATGTGTTGTCTGGTCTTCCTCTTCTCCTTAGGCCTTGGAAATTCCAAGCGAGGGCTTGCCTTATGACACAGTTGTGTTATTTGCAATCCACTTTCGGAGCTTCTGCCTGATTTTTCCTCCGCTGAGATCCTGTTTGTTCTTTCCCACGGTAGGCTGTTGCTGATAGTATCCGGTCAATAAATGTTGGGTATCTTGCGTAGACAACCATTTATAAATACTTGTACCTCCTTGATGATGGTTGTAATAGTTCTCCAAGTTTCATCTCCGTACAGTAGAACTGTCTTGACATTTGTATTGAAAATTCCGACTTTGGTGTTAGTTGACAGTTGTTTTAAATTCCAGATGTTCCTCAATTGTAGACATACTGCTCTTGCTTCGCCGATCCACGCCTTCACATCTGCATCAGATCCACCCTGTTCATCAATGATGCTGCCCAGATATGTAAAGGTCTTTACATTCTTCAGAGATTCTTCGTCAAGTGTGATTCGATTGGTGCATGCTATGCTGTATCGGAGAATCTTGATTTCCCCTTTGTTTATGTTGAGAACCACTGCTGCTACACTGGTCGTCTTCTTCCGCATTTGTTGATGCGTGTGCGACAGAAGAGCCAGACCATTTACGAATTCTAGGTCGTCCAGTTGCATCCTAGCTGTCCAATGTATCCCGCGTTTCCCTTCAGATGTTGATGTCTTCATGATCCAGTCGATCATCAGGAGAAAGAGAAAGGGTGAGAGTAAGCAACCTTGCCTGACACCGGTCTTCACTTCGAACGACTTTGTCAACTGTCCTCCATGCACGATTTTGCAGTGTAATCCATCATATGAATTCTATATGATATTGACTATCTTCTGAGGCACGCTCTAGTGTCGAAGAAGCTTCCATAGTGTCGTTCTGTCCACGCTGTCAAATGCTTTTTCGTAGTCAATGAAGTTGATGTAGAGTGATGAATTCTATTCAAGTGATTGTTTCACAATGATCCGTAGAGTTGCGATTTGGTCTGTACATGATCTATCCTTACGGAACCCTGCCTGTTGGTCACGAAGTTGGGCATCTACGCAGTCCTTCATCCTGTTTAACAATACCCTGTTGAAGACTTTTCCCGGTATTGAGAGAAGAGTGATGCCCCTCTAGTTATCACACTTGCTCAGATAGCCTTTCTTCGGTATTTTGATCAGAAGTCCTTCTTTCCAGTCTGTTGGTACTTGTTCTTCATTCCAAATCTTATTGAAGAGAATGTGGAGTATCCTTGCAGTTGCCGCTACGTCTGCTTTTAATGCATCTGCTGGAATGTTGTCTCGTCCCGCTCTTGACATGTCTGATGGAGCCTGGAGCTCCTCTAGAGTTACTGCCGGTCCCAGGCCTGCAAAAAGGAGGGTAGGGCACGGGCTTATCGATCCTATCCCGTAGAAAATGAACTCGCTAAAAAACGCTAACCAGAAAAAATAATTCAAACCATTTAAACTCATATCTTAAGATATCGTTAATGCGTCTCTTATAATTCAATGGTATTTATAGTTACTATGTTCCATACTCAATAATAATTCCTCACCCAATTGTTGTTCCGTATGTAGTTTATCGAAAATGGGTCCTCTTACAATCTGATAAAACAGATGAAGTAATGTATTGTTAAGCGTAGACTGCTCACCACATTGAAGGTAATAGTAAATCGCAGAAGCTGGTTGACCAGAAATATATCGTTGATAAAGAAAACTGGAATCTAAATAAAATAAGAAAAACGATTGGAATAAGAATAATCAACAAAATAAATAATGTACATAATTCGGATAAAAAATAACTTATTTTCGTCTTGTCAGTCAGATTTTATGCAAAGTAGAACCTGACACATGCAGAAGATTAAACTAGCACACTACATCAGGAAACCAAGAAAGAATTATTAAGTAGTAGAAGTAATATCACCATCAGTGATAGTAGAAAACATTAAGAACATACAATATGATTCGAGAAAAAAATGTATAAGGTTATTTTGATTTAAGAAAAGACAAAAACTAAATGTAACTGCTCCATTGAAACCGATTCCAAGCGATATTACGCTACGGTAACCACATAATGGTTATGATAATTGCGTGAAGGTATTCTACACATATTAACATCACTCAATTTAAACCTCACATCTTACAGTACACTGTGAGATAAGATTCAGTAAGAGATTGTAGTAAAAATAAACATAATGTAATATAATGTTAATTTAGTTATTAAAATTTAAAGAATCAGAATTCAGATAAGTGAAATAATCTGAATTTGTATGACAACAAGATTGTTTAAATCACAAAGTGGAAAATTACAGTAGTTTAAAGTTCTAGTCATTATGATTACTGTATCTGTTCATTATTTGTCCAAATTGACCAAGATAACAAAACATAATTTTTTTTTAAATGTCACCTAGTTCTCTATCGACGTTCACACATATTTCATACAAATTTTCTAATTTATAAAATTGAAGAAAGAAAGAACGAATATTGTAGTAGAATAACATGAATTGTTTTCTTTCGTGGATTCTACTGAGCTACTCATACCTTAAAACTGTGTCATTAATCGTTAGAATGAAACAAGTGTAAATACTTCAAAAATCTGGAATGAATTTACTCAATATGGAGATAGAATAATACTAGGAGACAATAATAGGGAACAAATCACACAATTGAAACTCGTTAAGTATATGAATATTTTATAAGAGCATGGAAATAGAATTTTATTTACGAAACCGAAGACAGATTATTTAGTATAGACTAATGTAATAGATGAATTCACGAGTCAATTAAAGCTAGACCACTATGAAGAACCTGGAAGCACTGGACGGCCGTTTCGTCCTAGTATGGGTTTCCTCAGCAGTGCGCATCCAAGATCCCGCCTACGCAGGATTCAAGCTCAGGACCTATCAGTCTCGTGCGCAAGCGCTTAACCTATAGACTAGTTAAGTAAGCTCAGAAGTACGAATTATGACACTAGAAATTTTATTCAAAGTTTATACAAGAAAGGTCTTACGTAATAATCTCATAAAAATAAGGTCAACAGGGCTAGAAAAGATTAGTCCTAGATATATAGACCGCGTTTAAATCTTTTTTATTGCAATAGATTCGATAAAGCGTAACAATTTTGAATCCCTATGTTTATTAATCATTCTGAAAGATTTCGAAACTATAACATCATGCCTATGTCGAGTAGATGACGAGCGATTGAGCTGTTCAAAACCTTCCGTTTAACCTCAAATTTTGTGGATTATGTTCGGAGATATGTACACGGGTGCTTCCTTCTGTTCTTCCAAAGTATGTACTTTGTTACGTGCATGTAAACTGTTAAACTCATTGGAGATGACACTAGGTGGGTATCTGTCCACATTTGACTGTCACAACGAGCATTTGGTTTGCTATAAAGACATCAACTTGGTCGCTGAATATGTCCTTTTAGGCATTACCTTTAGTTTAAAGTCAATCCTCCCAGTTATTTTATTCCTTCTGAAACCAAATTTTAGGAAGACAGGCTTTTTCTCAACTGTAGGATATTTTATTTTCTCTAGTTGTAATATATTTATTTATGACTTTTTGAGAATAACTGTTCTCACGTAAACAACATTCAACTACGGTCGATTCAGCCTCCTCTCACTTACCTGACATAAAACGTTATGATATTATTCACCGATTTCATGACAGTTTGTCTTAGGTTTACCATAAAGATGTCTGCCAAGATTTGGCCGAGTGAACGGCCCATAGCCTATATATATAATTCATAAACCATATTTCTGAAGAAAAAAACTGATGGACAAAGGTGTTTACCTTCAGGAATTATAACTTCTCGAGGTGTTGCGATGTGAGATAGCAAAAATGGTTTAGAATCAAATTTTTGTATTAACAGATCTCGAATCATTTCGTAATAATTTATTGCATCCTGTAGATGGAAATTTGAAACATCGATATGACTAGTTGAAAAACATGATTTAGAAAAATAATCGACAAATTTATCTAAGTTATTTTCCAAGTGATACAGAAAGCAATTTACCCTTTACATTCAAGAACAATTACTTTGATCAATAATCAAATTATGGAATAAAAAGGTTAATCTACGGTCAATATACAAACTGCTAATCATTCACTGAATGAATATCGTGACATAGCATACACAATTTAGTAGGTTGGTGATAAGTAAATCTAAGAGTGAAATATGATCTAAACCACACATCATTAAAAAAACAGAGAATCGTTCAAAGGTCTGTAAATCACAGTAGATGTTTGTGTTATTTAAATAGATAATGTGAAATTAATGCTTGCTTAGGAAATTTATACAGTTTCAAATACGTGTCTACGTTACTTTCGGTGATATTCAGATGTTAGCTTGGCTATATTAGTTGTATACAACACGTCCATGAATAAACATATTCAATGCACTTGCGTTACAAGTTATCAAAATAATTAAGCTTAATTGATGCACATATATCACGTTTGGTGAGAATACCATGTAGTCTATTCTAACATCAGAAGATATGACTTTGGAGATAGAAGAAATGAATTTCCAATAAATTAAAAATGTGTGAAACAGTAAATTTTATTAACTAACATCCGACAGATGTGGCTGAGTGGTTTAAAATATTAACTGAAGTCAACTGCAATCGTTCTGCAGTTTTCTGTTGTAGTAAGTTAACAATCGAAGCTCCCTTGAGTGTAACTACATTCAAAGACGAACAGTTCTTGGTATGTTAGCTCCATAATATCAATCCATAAAATCATTTAATTTCCGTATAGGTCATGCTGATAGATCTAGAATTCCTGTTTGAGATCCGCATGATAACTTTAACCGGTCGCTGGGAATGTTGTGTAACATGTCTTAGAATCGGTAAGCATATATCACATGCCATCGCTCTTTATCTTTCTTTGGATACTGATCAATGATTATTTAATCTCTTTGGTTATTATGTCTACTAGGGTTAATTATAATACCTTTGAAATTCTTTTTGGTTTCACTTCATCGTGACTAATACGAAATGGGCTGATAAATACTTGTGCTGAGCTTTATAATGACAGTAACTAACAGTTACTTATGGCATTGTTTCACTGTTTCTAATTGTTCTGTCACCTACTCGTCTTTTTCTTAATGTTATGAACTAATTACTCAAGTTGAAATGAAAAGCCTGTTCATAATGTTTGTGTATTACTGTACACAATTTATAATATTCATGTATCAATAACTATAAATGATTTTAACATTTTAAATTTCTACAAAGAAATCCTAGTCATATTCTCATTACTGAATTAACCTAAAAAATGATATTAACCACATTACTGTATGCTTACCTCTTCGGTGATACTGCCATATATAAGGCCTTCGATAAAAATGCGTTCATAAAACTCTTTGATATAATTAACTAACTTTTCGTAGGTAATATCTAGGATCAAAAAATGAATAAGTCATCGAATCATTTAAAGAATTTCCAATCGAAACTCAGTGGACCAATTTCAGTAACGATTTTTACAGTGAATATTAGGTAAACCTTTAAAGAACACCGGTGGAGACAATCGAATATATTTAACACAAAATTACAGGACTTGTTAATAAAATCTAACAATCATAAAGTAAATGCTTAATTTGCAAAGTGTCCATCGATTGTCTCGAAATGACTCAGACTTCATTGTTCTTGCATTTTCATACAAATTGTATTTTGTTTCCATTCTTTACTGTTCGATCCTCTTGTCTCTTTACCGCCAGACCTTCTGTTCACGACTAACATCATCTACTACTTATGTCAATATTATTAGCACACACTACAACACATCATAAAACAGTTTGTATTTTAGTATGGGAATCAAAACATGATTGCTTTGAATATTTGTATACATACATGCCTTTATTAAACGAACATCAATTATTACATAACCCAACAAAAAAAACCTTTTTAACATTTATAAAAAATTATTCCGAAACATTTCAGTCAATCACGAGTGACAAATAACATGGTAGTAATTATTCTTTAATGATGAATTAGAATTAACATTAACATATATAATTTAATGGTTGAATCTCGTGGGGGGCGGGATCTTGGATGCGCACTGCTGAGGAGTCCCATATGAGGATGAAAATGCCGTCCAGTGCTTCCAAGTTTTTCATAGTGGTCTAACTTCAATTGACTCATGAATTCAGCCACTAAATTACTATAATATCCACAAAACCTCTCTCTGATTATAAACATATATAAGCTGATGTTGTAACGAATTCAATCAATTTCACAATGAGACAATGAACAGAACTTACGTTTTATACTTAAATTTTTTCTCAGAAATCTTACTTAATCAAGAACAATCATCATAGAGAAACAATATGATATCATGCATGTCACGGATTCTCTCTTTAACTAGCTATAATACAGATATAATAGTACTAATTACTAAGCGCTATTGAGTAAATCTTCTTTTTTGATCTCATACTATCGGAAAAGATAATAAATATGAATGACTCACAAAAGAAATGTTCGGTCATAAATTCAAAAATGAGTAGATTTATGGAATAGAATGAATAAAGCCCAGATAATAAAACATGAAGAAAATAAACTTGTAATTGAAAGTAAGAAAAGATATGTCAGACACAGATGAATGTCGGAAATTGAGATTATTATGATAGTACAAGAAGTTAGAAAAATTGAAATAAGATGAGCTTCAAGAGTTCTCTCAGTGAAAAAACCTTAGAATATAGGAATTTCTATTACAAAGAATAGTAATAGTTGGAAAATGAAATCATTAAGTGGAGAGGTCACCCAATTCTGATGCGAATATATACACTGCTGCCTACATGTGAGCCCAAATTTTCATGTGATTGAGAAAATTAAATGTGAAGAGAAAGCTGTCTTGGCGAACTGAATCAAGATATCAGTCAGTCAGCTACAACGTAGGACCAGGCACATATGTGCATCGGTCCAAGTTCCTATACCTCATTAGCACAGGAAGATGAACACCGGATTCATAGGAGTGGTTAGGTCAAAGGTTGCAATAAGGATATAGTATAGGAAGAAAGAATTAGTTCGTAGACAGAAAGAATGAAGTGATTTTAGTCTCTTAGTTTAAGGAAAGACAGGGAGTGTATACACCGACGCCATTGTGATCGATTCCGAGCCATGTCCCCAAGAGTCTCCAACCATTGGTTGCGAAAGTCACGCGGACCCCAACCAAGTAGTCTGCATCTACCAACGTGGCTCAGACTAGAAGTTAGTGACTTCAGGCACTGATGCCACGTTTTGGTTTGTCCGCCCCTAACTTTCTTCCAACCATCCCCTACCCCGGTTAGCATCGCACGTCGTGGTAATCGGTGTTCAGGCATACGTAATACGTGGCCCAACCATCTCAGTCGATGAAGATTCATAACCTCATCAACTGATTTACCATCATTCCCTAATACCCTGCGTCTAACCTCGCTATTACTTACCCGGTGATCCCAGCAGATGCCAGCAATATTTCTAAGGCATCTGTGGTCGAATACTAGTAGCTTACGGGTGTCTTCTACTCTTAAGGGCCATGTTTCGCTGCCGTACATTAAAACAGAACGAACTGCCGCGCAGTATACTCGTCCTTTTATTGATAGACGGATATCTCGCCTTCGCCAAAGGTGACGCAAGTTGGCAAAAGCCAAACGAGCTTTTCGAATCCGTGCTGAGATTTCGTCCGATATATATATATATATATATATATATATATATATATATATATATATTGCTCAGATAGTTAAGCCAGACATCGACCATTAGCGTGCACGTATCTCTCACCTACCATTTGAACTTGATCTCGGATCTGAGCATAAGTAAGTAAGATGTCTGGATTCTCCCAGATTTTCATAGAAACTTTATCGTGTTCAAACATAAGAGTAATTCGTATCCCTCTTTTTATTTCACTGTTGTTGACAATTTTTTTAGAAATTAACGCCTTTATCAGAATTTTCAGGGATAGATCGAACAGGTTTAATTATTGACTTAGAACACACAGATGATATAGACTTGGTTTGCAAAGACGATAATGAGTTTCAGTCTAGCGATCGTCTTGAAGCACAATATAAGCACGTTTTTGATGTGCTTCTCCCTATCTAAATTCAAAATATTGTTTGATGACTGATCTATGCAACCGCCTGAACTCATGAAAGAAAATAGAGCAACTAGTTTACTTATCTTAGAAGTCTAATCAAACTCAGTGAATTAGTGTCTAAGTAAATCTTGTCATGGATTTAGGATGCTTGCACGCTTTTCGACAACATAACTTACCTGTAGTGCAGGCGAAACATCCATCAATTAAACAAAGAACGAGCATACTGTATAGTAGTTTGTTGTATTTTAATTTATGGCCGAGCCCCTAGCATTCTTCTAACCTACTCCTATACCACTGAACATAGCACGTCGAGGCAGTCAATCGTTGGGCATACGTAACACGTGTCCCAGCCATCTCAACTGATGAAGTTTCACTACTTCATCAATTGATTTGCCATCCTTACCTAGTGCCCGTTTCCTAACAACTGTGTTACTTACTCGATGGTCCCAGAATATACGAGCAATGTTTCGAAGACAACTATGATCAAATACTAGTAACCTACGGATATCCTCTACTCTTACCGGCCATGTTTCACTGCCATAAAGTAGGACGGAACAAACTGCTGTACAGTAAACACTTCCTTTGGTTGATAGACGGATATCTCGCCTACGCCATAAATGACGCAAGTTGGCGAAAGCTAGTCGAGCCTTCTGTATCCGTGCTGAGATTTCGTCACACACCAGACCATAAGGGCTGATGAGACTTCCAAGATAAGTGAAGCGGTCGACACACTCAACTACTTCACTCCCTATCTCTAGTCCGGGTGTCGATGCAACCCAATCCTGAAGCAATATTTTGCATTTAGACTGGGAGAATCGCATGCCGAACATGCTTGCATTGTTGCTTAGAGTGGTCAGGAGACTCTGCATTTTGTCAGCGTCTTCACCAAATAAAACTATGTCATCAGCATATTCTAAATCAACAAGTGAACCTCCCGGTAGAAGTTCAACCCCTGGAAATTTAAATGAGGAGAGTGTTATCTCTAAAAGTACGTCGACCACAAAGTTGAACAAGAATGGGGAGAGTGGACAGCCTTGACCGTAGCTGCTACCTTGACGCGGTGGTCGGGCTTGCCTATCGTGATGACTCAAACGAGCTATATTGTCTGGAACATATGTTTCTGTAGGTTCTACCATGCCAGGCAGTTCGATCGAAGAACGGTAAGACTAAAAGCAGCAAACCAAGGTCTGAGGGCGACGTCATACTGCTGACTGTAGAGGGATCGCACAGTAGTATGGCGTTTCCCTCGGACAGCCAGCATCTGCAGCGATGCCGCCTTCTCACAAGAAAGGAAGGGGTTAGAAAAGGTCAACCCTGACAATGACACACCTCACCTTACCTCACGGATTTCCGTCTCCGGCGGTAAGACTTTGAAGAACGGAGCTAACACGTCAAAAACCTTCCTCAAAAAGGCCGTGCGCGACCGGCCTCAAACAGTTGTCCCTTGGGCTCTGCGGTCACGCTCCAAGGTCGTCAAGACCAACACTAATCCAATTTCGTTTTCAGGTTCCTCAAGAAATACCCTGTCACAGTGTGAGCAGCCGGGAGGTGACATCAGCCCTCCCTATACCTAATACCTCTATTATCTCCCCGACTAACCCTTTTCACGTCCCTCTATCGCCTTGCACCACTAGGGCAAACGATTCGAGTACGCAGAACGTTATTCCTGGTCTCCTGAAACCACGCTCTAAACTACACGTAGGAGCTTTAAACGTACGAACACTGTGCCAAATAGGACAGCAGGCTTCCTTAGCTAGGACTTTAGAATCTCGCGCCATTGATGTGTGCTGCGTCTCCGAAACGCGCATACAGGATCCAAGCAGCGTCATTCATTTGACCTCACCATGCCAAAATAAAGAACTGACTCGATTCACACTTCGTGTTTCTGGAAGCCCTGATTCTGCTTACCGTGGCCTCGTCGGCGTAGGTATAGCATTGAGTCCTAGGGCAGAACTAGCTCTCTTAGAGTGGATCCCAGTAGACAGTCGTTTGTGCGCTGTCCGACTAAACGGAACAGTAAGGATCCGAAAAGATAGAGACACTCGTCGTTGCCTCTTCGTCGTCTCTGCCTATTCTCCCACTGACTGCTGCTCAGATGATGTGAAAGATGCGTTTTACAGAAAGCTTTCGGACCTTCTCCGAAAAGCTAGGCGCTCTGATGTAGTAATAATGACTTTAATGCGAAAGGGAAAGACACCTGAGTGGATCTTATAGCGTCGTGGCTTAAAGAACATTGGAGAAGTGATGAATTTCAAATCAATTTTTTTATTCATTATAATATTAAAAATAAATTTTGTCATTATTAAATCAGTCTTAACTTTTTGGCTGACAGCCAACAAGAAGATTCATTTTGACTTTATCTAATGGGAACATGTTTGTCTGTTTTGATAAGCTGTGCAAATATAGTTCGAGATCAGTGAATATGCCTGTCGTCGGTTAAATTCTTTGAGATTTTGTAAATGGTAGAGGGTTTATAATATCGTAATTCGAGAAGGTTAGTAAATGACGTTCACTGAAATGGTTGTAATTATTTATGGCGACAAAATAATTCGGACAAATTTTTTTATGGGACATTCCTAGTTCACAAAACAGGGATGCTAATAACAATTTTCAGTTCATAATACCAAACAATCAGCAATTTTCTTAACAAAATTAATACTATATGTAATTATATTCGTTACGTTCAGTTGCAACAAGCATCAAGATTATCACAAAGCTCTAGCTAACATGAGATTTAGTAACTCGGATAGTTGAACATCAGTACTAAGAATTATATTGTTCGCGATTGATTCGAATGAAAAATACTCAAAAGGCAAGAATAAGTACTTACCTTTTAGAGCTTGAATAAAATCATCAATAATCCAAGAATGATGTGTAGTAATATTCGTTAAATATGTACAGGCCTGGTGATGAGTTGGTTTTAATGAAAAATTGGTAATATTTTCGAAAATTTTCTCACGGATGCATTCGAAACGATCAGTTTTTGGTTCACAATAATCGACAAGTTGTGTTACTATTTCTTGAACAAAAGTTTTCAATTTATGGGTAAATCCCGAAAACAAAAGCTGGAAATTAGGAACAGACAATCATTAAGGAGTGATAATATTCTCGAAGATGCATTTTAATACAATTGGTGAATTAAATTTAATAAATTTCTCCAGTCGTGGTATAAAACTAATATATTTGAATGATCAAGCTAAACTACAGCCCATGAGGTTAATTGTAAATCTGATATAAAGTGATGAGAGACTATATGACTTGGAATTCTCTTAACAAAACAGTAATGTATGTGGATTTAATCCAGAATACGGTGTTAAAAATTAAAAGTATTTTGTTATCCTAACAACCCGAAGAAATTAACTATGCTTATTTTCCTACATTTAGCACAAAAATGGTCCTACTAGAATCTGTTCAAGAAAACAGCTACTGATTTTCAGCAGTGGAGCTAAACAGTGTCAGGGTGTGAGGCAAATAAATAATAAAATTCAATGTTTATAACAAGGAGTTATGACTAAATTCAATGATGAAATTTATTTCTACATATATTATAAACCACATAATATGTCGACACATGTATACAATGATTATTCATAATGAAACAAATTAATTTAAATCTTAATTTAACATACCGTGATACCTCTATTAGTATATCCCACATGAACTGTTATATCAGCAAACACACTAGAGTAATTAAGTTCATAAATCTGATCCAAAAACAAGTTTACATAAAACGCACAAAGTGTTTCATGTAAAGGACTACAAAATGTTGACAAACTATGATGAAAAATAGAAAATAAACAATTACTTATAAAATATTTATAAGTACTATTATGTAGTAAGTCATAAATAATATTAGTGTATGAATATTATAAATGCTTAATTTTATATTAATTAACTGAAACTATGGTTAAGGACGTCATTGATTACTTTGCATAATAGTAAGATATGTGACACTAAATAAGGTAAAAAGAGTAGTAAATAAATGAATCCAGTAGGTTAGGCGTTCGCGCGCGAGACCGAAGGCCATGGGTTCGAACCCTGCGAGCGGGACCGCACTGCTGAAGAGTCCCAAAACAGGAAGAAACGGCCGTCCAGTGCTTCCAGGTTTTCAAAGGTGGTCTAACATCAGTCGATTCATGATCTCAATCAAAAACTTAATAATCTCCACAACCCCTATACTAGTAAATGAATTTATTAAATTAAGATTATACTAAATAAGTTAATACTGGTTAACGTGAGCAAAGAAATAACAAACATTTAGTCGTGAAAAAGTTACAATAAGCAGACAGAAACAATATCCCCTTATCCAGCATAATAATGATTACTATTTATAAATGAGAGAGAGAAACTAACCTGACAATATGAAATTTGATAAAACCTTTGGGAAGATTGAATTCTGTATCTTGAAAGTACCAAATACGAGACATCTCTGTTTCGATTAATAATTCTGGCATTTCCACATTCATGGGGCATTTGTTTTGCAACAAATCAAATTCAGTAGTGATAAATGAATTTGGTTCGGGGAATCTCAATTCTGGATTAGAAGGACTATTTCGCCATGCCTATTGGCGAAGAATCAAATTATTAGAAACAAAAAAAACTCAAAAAACAAAGCGAGAATTGCTGAAGAAAACGCATAAGTATATGAACAATTCATATCAATAACGTTTAATCTTCACAACGTGAAATTAATGAAGTGGTGTAGCGTAATTCAGTAGGCATAAGAAAGTTTCTGTACTTGGTTTTCAGGTGAAAGTTTTCTATAGATAGTGTAATAAGCCAATCAGATATCGGGTAAATGGCCAAGAAATGCTTACATATTGTAGAGAATATATATAGAGTGTACACTCAAGCCCAATCAGTCACGCAATACAAGCTACCTTCTCACCCTTGATTAGAGAGGCTTGTGTATCAGTATCAGTACCGGACATTATAACATTAAAGACTAATAAATTGACATATACCTGATACCACATTGAACAGGGATTAAGAAGAAGAAGAAGAAGAAGAGGAAGAAGAAGAAGAAGAAGAAGAAGAGGAAGAAGAAGAAGAAGAAGAAGAAGAAGAATCCATATCTCCTTCCGAAGACACAACATTTAAAGCTGGTAATAATAAATAAGAGAGATACTTAAGCTAAATAACTACAAACTTTTCATTACAAAAGTCAATTATCGCTTAATTTTGTTTTGGCTAAATACGGATTTTCATTGTGGTATAATCACTTATTAATTTCAGTCTCACGATTTACACAATAATATGATACGACAACATGGTTTTAAGAATCGTCCCATTAATAGAAAAAGTGTGCCTATGCTGCTACGTTCCGTATCAGTCCAATCATGTAGGTTATAGTGTCTGGTGCGATGTCAAGCCCAAATGGGTTATTCTTGCTTCCAGACAGACCAATTTCTTTATTCTTCTCGGGTCTCATTTTGACTTTGTCAGTCATTCGCTTATTAACTTTGACTGTTCTTATATGAGCGTGTGTGCATTGCTTACACTATTCATCACAGTCTGTAGCTAATTTTTATCTGGGTTACGCTTTATCAAAACGAGTTGGCTTGCTCGCCTTCTCCGCTTCGCTTTCACGCTTCTTTTCCTGAATGTCTGTATGGATAAACGAGCGCTTGAAGTACACTCATCCAACGCAACCAGTATTTGGCTTTTTAATACCGCTGTCACACAAAAAGAGTTAGCCTAGGTAATATACAGAGTTAAATGGAAGATTTATGTTTATAGTATATTCATTCGTTCTTCGAAATAGAAATCAGAACAAAAGGCCAAAAAAGAGGCTTTAGATTTCCGAAAGATTTTATTAGTTGTTTAACGTTGAGACATAGTTCGACATATTTGAACAAACATAATCAAATTTACTTTACCAACATATATGAGACTTCGGAATCCACTTAATCTATACAAATTCTTTTCGTCGACGAAATCACTAAATTTGCTACTTCTGTCCTCATTGGTATGTGATGACTTTTATTCATGCATTTGAAACTCCCACTTTTACATCACCGGAAACTAGTAGATGTCCCTCCTCATCCTGATTTCCACATTAAATCTAGCTTTTATTAATTGTGTATTTATTCAGTCAGTTTGTTATGTAGGATCTACGAGATTAAAAAAATGTGCTCTGCTTCTCAGTCCTGACCACTGTTTAATTCCTATTCCTCACAAAATATATGACAAGTTTGGAAAGGCTTTTCTTTCTCACCAAACCACAAAGTCCAGTGTAAGGAAAACATCCTATACCTGAAAAACATGATTCAAATAACAAAGCTGGATCTGTGCATAAATGCCTTTCTGGACGACAAAGTCAATATTTTCACTTGTTACGATAATTTCTGTTTTCTATGTTTGGTGTCCTAGTCAAAAAGTCTCGATAAAATTCGACTGAATTACCTCCAAAAACTTAAAAAATTGAGGAGAGCAAAGAAAAGACCTTACAAGAAGTAAGAATCTGTCGGAGATGAGGATTAAATTGTCTGAATGAATGTCGACTTGGTATGATTAACCGCTGTTGTTGTTTAGTTGATAAAAACAACTGTCATCCCGATCAATCATTTTATACCAACATATTTGAAAAAAACATTAACGAGGTGTAAAGAATACTAAATGTATTTCGATTACAGCTAATAAAATCTGGACTAACAAAAAACACATGAATCAAAGAAGATAAAAATGGACGTAACTGTGCCACTCTAAGCCATTTTGATACACTTATTCTAGTGTCTAAGAATATAAGATACGATGAGAAGGCTAACATACATAACGTCTCACATAAGGAGTTCATGGCTTTATAAAATGATACCATATGTTAGTTTGATCGTATCCAAACTTCTTTTATCGCACTCATATGCTAACCAGCATCGCATGTGAAGGCACGCGACCGCGTGACCAAGGTTCTATAACTACGTTTTGCTGAACAACCGATGGATATTGTTACTCACAATTCGAATAACTACAGAATTTCAAGCAATCAAACACAGTTCTAGTTTTAACCGAAAAACCTTCATAAAATTCAGATGCATGTATACATGCTGATCAGTCTTAAATAAGATTCAACAGCTTCGCATTATCAAATACAATTTAAACAACGATATTGAATTAGAATAAGATTTTTGATTATAATATTTACTAAGAACAATGACTTACTGACAAGGTATTTTCAGGAATATTAATAGCAAGGTATTTAGTGCGATACCAGGGTTCTTCCTCCACACATTTGTCGGCAAACGTCTTACTAAGTAAAAAGATGCTGTAAAGCAACGTTAACACAATATTAAAGTAGTGAGAAAATATACTTTATGTTGTCAGCAGAACAATATCACTTTTATGCATAAAATATTTCCATTCTACTCCTATGATCTATTTTCTAAAAGACAAACCGCAAACAAGCATTTTAAGTATGAAGCTTTCTACACGTATATTCAAGCTACCAAGTTCTTAATACCAAAGCCCATGAGTCTTTACTCTTTATAATTGATAAAGTTGACATATTCAGATAGACAAAATGCTGAGGACTATTTTACACCTGAATCTCGTACTGAATCAAGAATAGGTGATCATTGAATATTTAAAGTGACAATAACTGTATAAAACTAAATAAGAACTTAACTCTCAGATCTTTTTTCTGAAACCTGCACCAGATCTACATTTGACCAATGTCTTATTAAATATCTTTTATAGAAGTATCTACATTATGCGAACAATAGCAAACAATTTTGAGGTTATCGGCGTAGAACAAGAATCCGCTTGCAGCCCTTCTACAGTTACTGCCAGTTTCAAATCCGGGTAAAGGAGGAAGGCTGGAAATAAGGTCGCAAACCACATTCCGTAGAAGACAGACTTGGTAAAAAACCGTAACCAGAAAAAAATAATTAAAACCATTCAAAATGTGCCCTGCCCCGATTTCAAGGATCTTCACTCAGAAGAATTATGATGCCCCAGGGAGTAACCCGAGATTCTTCGAAAATTACGAGACCAATGACGCTTCGAACAACCAAAGCAACAAACCGTATAGGTACATGGAATTTCTGAACAATGTGAGAAACTGGAGGGACCAGCAAAAGAGATACAGAATTAAACAGACACAACTTGGTGGCTTTAAGAAAGAGTAAAAGATACTGAACTCAAGCTGGACAGAAAAGTTTAGATTCGGGAGAGGTGTTTCTGCACTCTGGTCACGAAGATGAAAATGCTTTGCACACACAAGGATTTGCATTGATACTGTCCAGAGAAGCATGTAAGGTACTTATAGGATGGGAATCTCGTGTGTCCGGAAGTCAGCAAAGCATCCTTCAAAACAAAGAAGGAGAAAATAACAATGAATTGTGTCCAGTGCTATTCACTCATCAATGTTGACAACGACGACAATAGAGACCAATTTACCGAGAGATTGCAGCTGACTGTAGAGAAGTGTCCGGAAAAAGGCCTGATTATCCTGATGAAAGACCTAAACGTCAAAGTGGGAATGGACAACACCGGATATGAATATATTATGGTACGATGTGGACTGGAAGAAAGGCGAAAAAAATGTGGCCTCAACATAATGGTTATAGGTGGCACTGTACTCACCCACAAACTCATTCATGAATCACATTGGCCTAGCAGAATAACACTACACAGAACCAGATCAATCATATTTGCATCATCAACGAGTTCGTAAGGTCAATGGAAGACTCGAGAACCAAGAGATGAGCTGATAGACCTGGAGATCACTACAAAGTGGTTGCTAACATGAAACTGAAGCTAAAGAAGCAATGGACATCTGGAGAGACAGCATTACAATGGTTTAATACAGCCTTCTTTCGATATACTGACAAACCTAACCAATTCAAGATGGCTTTTAGGAATAAGTTCCAAGTCTCATAAGATCTGTTCAAAGAAGAACTTAGTACAGAGAACGATTGGAAAGAGATAGAAGAAACACTAGCTTCAACTTACCAGGGGGTGCTAGACATCAAGAAGCATTATCGTAAGGCAAGCACCTCCAGATAAACCCTGACCAGGATTCAAGAAAGAGAGAACAAGAGGACAGAAATTAACAACAGTCGAACAAAAGCGGAGAAAGTCAAGGCATAAGCTGAATACACTGAAGCAAACAAGCACAACGAAGAAACTGGTAGGGAAATATAGTAAACTGCAGAGATCAATCAATTAAAAAGAAGACAACACAATCAGCGAAATTGAAGAAAAGAGGAACAGATGGATGGAACTCTTGGAGAGACCAGATCCATTGAATCCATCGGATATCGAAGCACCACATACAGACCTTCCTAGAGATGTCACTCCACCAACTATTAAAGAAATCAGGATGGCCATCAGACATATCAAGAGCAGGAAAGCAGCAGGACCTGAAAATATACCAGCTGAAGCACTGAAGTCACGCATAGAATTAACCGCAAACACTCTACTTTCTATTCAGAAAGATTTGAGGGGAAAAAAGCACCGACGGACTGGAAGAAAGGATACCTCATCAAAATACAAAAGATCTCAAGAAGTGGGAAAACTACAGAGACATCACACTATTATTATTACTAAGAAACGTTTTCAGCAATGTTGTTGAACAGGATGAAAGATTCAGTAGACGTCAAGCTTCGAGATCAATAGATTGAATTCTGTAAATATCGGTCGTAGACAGACCATATTTCGACACTAAAGATAATTGTTAAGCAATCAATTGAATGAAACTCATCACTATACATCAACTTAATTGACTATGAGAAAGCATTTGACACTTTGGATAGGAGAACCTTATAAAACCTTCTTCAATATTATGTTGTACCCGAAAAAATCGTCAACATCATCCGGAATTCACACAACGGACTAAACTGCAAATTCGTTCGTGGAGTACAGCTGACAGACATATTCCAAGCGACGACAGAAGTCAGACAAAGCTTCTGCTTACTATCCCTCTTTCTTTTCCTTCTGGTGGTTGATTGGATTATGAAAACTTTCACATTTCAGAGAAAGCACAAAATACAGTGGATAACTAGCATGCAGCTGGATGACTTTACAAGTGACCTAGCTCTCCTATCTCATTACCTACTTACTTACAACTGTTAGCCTTCGTGAAGGAGCACATCAATAAATGCAGATGAGGACAAGCAGTAAGGCAGAAGCAGACACTGCAGTAGTGGGTCTCAACATACAGAAAAGACGGAGCAAGACTATGAAATATAACACAGAGAATACTAATCAAATCACATTTGATGGAGAAACTCTGGAAGATGTGGACAGTTTCACGTACCTCGGAAGCATCATCGATTAACAAGGAGGATCCGATGGAGACGTAAAGGCAAGAATTGGAAAAATAAAGGCAGAATCCCTACAAATAAAGAATATATAGAACTCAAAACAACTGTCAACCGAAATCAAAGTCAGAATCTTCAATACAAACGTCAAAACAGTTATGCTGTAGGGAGGTAAAACTTATAGAACTACCACAACCATCATCAAAGATGTAGAAGTATTCGTAAACAATTGTCTACGCAAGATACTCCATGTTCGTTGGTCGGATACTATCAGTAACAACACGCTGCGACAGAGAACAAGTCAGCTTCCAGTTGAAGAGGAAATTATTAAAAGACGCTAGAGGTGGGTAAGACATACATTGCGGAAATCATCAAACTGCATCATGAAGCAAGCGCTAACTTGAAATCTTGAAGAGAAACGGGAAAGAGGAAGACTGAAGAATATAATGAGTCAGGAATTGGAAGCAGACATCAAAAGAATGAATGGCAATTGGAAACGACTGGAAAAGTGAGCTGAAGACAAAGTTGGTTGGAGAATCCTGGTGGGCGATCTAGGCTCCTCCACGATGGATAAAAGTAAGCAAGTAAATATTTTTGCACTTGTAACAATCGATATTTTTTGTCGGCACGAGTAATGTTCAGTGAGCATACAGCACCTCTGACAAACTTTGGGGCTAAATATTTATTAAATTTACAAGTACCACAATAAGTGTTTGCGATTTTCAATTTATTCTAACTGACAAATTACGTAACCAAACGGTATATTATATACAGGTTACAGTCTATCACAAAGATGATTAGTGTAAAATTCAAGTTTATTCGTCATCTCGTAAATTTTTGGAGGAATGAAAAGCGATTGAGAATGGCGACCATATATGAAAATTTTTATTAGACGACGAAAAATGTCATATTAATGAATACATATAAACGGCGATTAACGTGGTTGTAAAACGTTTGTTGGAATCATGAGCTGATCTAAGTTAGATAAATGCTGAAAAACTAAAATCACTGGACTATTGTTTCATCCTCGAATAAGACTCCTCAACAGAGTGCGCCTGCAACCCACTAACCGATGATTGGACTAAAGACAGGTCTCGCTCACGAATGTAAAATATCTCTAGACCACTAGACCTAAATTCAATGGCGTACGCATCTAACTCCAATCAATCCTAGATAGAGCGTCACCAATTTTCACAATCTCCATACTGAAAACTTTTTGCATAAAAACTCCAAGTATTAAAACGTTAAATGAATATTAAAGACGAATTTGTTACACTATTGAAAATTTGTGCTGAGAATTATTCACTGTAATAAAACATAAGGTACTAAATTATTATTACTGTTAATAACTGAATTTAACGAAACCAATTGATGTTAGTTAAGGAACAAAAGTACTACATTACAGTGAGGAAGCTACACTTCTATTAGATAACAAAAAATTCAAAACTATATTTTCAAATCTGTAAATATTATAAATTAATATGACGCTGCGAATTGAAACCTTACAAAAATAACCAGTAAAACGTACCGACTTTTATCAGGAGTAAGACAAGTTAATAGTTTTTTAATTAAATTAGGATCATAGACAGTTGCCATAAAATGATTAGTTAGGTCATCTTGCATCTTATAAATCTAGAAAAAAAAGTAGAAAAGTCAGAAACAACTATTTATATGTTAGTCACATTATTTTCCTATTAACTAATCTTAAAAGCCAGTATGGTAATGTTGAAAGTCGATTTATCTGAAGGATTAGAAAATAGGTTATTGAATGTGTTATACCGTTTTTAAGGGTAATCAAAGGCTTTAAAAATATAAAGTATTTGTTTTTGATAGTACTCACCAACAAATTGCGGGATAATCTTATCACGTATTCATAAGGTGTCTCTTTGTTTTGAAATCGAAAGCCTAGTTTCCATAAAGTCTACAAGTAAACAGTTTATATAAAAAGAATCCACTGGATAGTTTAACTTACATTTAAACATAGTTAAAAACCGATTTGTATATTCTCTAAATGCAAAAAAGAAATACTCATTTGGTCTTTATAAGCTGTAGTTGCATAGTTTTATTTTTGCCCCAATAATTACATTAGATTCACCACTAAATTGTTTCTTTACTTCAAATTTCCTATTAATTCATCATTATATTGATGTTGTTCAAGAGATCTGCAGTCTGAAATTACAACTTATGAGAAGCAAATCAATATCGATTGGGTTGAAATACTGTTGTAGTTTATTATTAAGTGAGAACTTTGTTCAGGGAATTTCAATACATTTTCTCGATGATTTGTGCTAATATCAAATACTAAGTTTCAATATTCTGATTAGTTTCGATATTTATAATCGATAAACTTCATATGTTTTTTAATGGATTATGGATGGCTCAACATTAAAAAGCTTCATCTTCAAAAACCGGTGTTTTTAGTCTAAAGTCATCAAGGCAGAGAAGAGTAAGAGCTAAAAGTGGTTTTATTTACTTATCAGTTGCGTAAACTTAAACCGATGCGCATATATGTCTGTGTTGTTGTACATAATCCACAAATACAACACAACTGTTAATTTTCATCGGACAAGCAATACTACAACATAGACATTTTAATAATATAACACTGTCTAGTCGAAGTTCGAAAAGGGTTGAAGAAAAATCCAAATCCTACCTGTATTTCATCCAATACCCACTTTTTTGGTTCATCAGAGTGAAGCATGTTGATGTATTGATATATATTTGTTATAATTTCATTGATTTTCTCTACAAAAAATAAGTTTCAAGAAATTAATTATATGATATATATATCATTTAATTATATATATAAACCATATACAGTTATTCTCAATAACGTTAGGAAATAAGAAATCTAACCACCAATTAACTCACCAAGTCCTTTCAAAGTTAAATGAACGGACACATTCAGATAACAAATCCCAACTCCTGATCTATTAACATCACATGTTAGTTGATTAGCCCAGCCTGCATTTTTGAATAAGCTCAGTAAACTTCCATGACTTTCATGACCAAGTAAATAAGTCACATAACTAGTGGCCTGTAAACATGTGAGTTGAAAAATCACACAAATAATTGAAATGAAGATAGAAAATTTCAGAAACTTATTCCATCTGAGGGTAGGTTTTATCTACAACTGATATCAGATTAGAAACTATTTAAAACCAAGAGATATCAAAATGCTATTAACTCCCAATTTATATCTGTTTAGCAGTAGCCTAGAATGACTGCATACGAAATCGTGCCGAGGATTTGCAAGTGTCTAGTAGACAATGATATATTTGAAATCATTGAGACAAGACTCAGTGTTCCATATTTTTCACTTAATTCAATTGATGATATAGAGTGACTATCATTCACTAAGATAGATAATATTACTTTCCATTGGTTATGACTACTTACTAAATCTTCGAGTCCATAATAATAAAACTATGTGAAATGTAGTAAATCAGGAGTGTGAATCAATGAGAGCTAACTCGACAACTTGAAAGTAGAGCACTCACCATCAGAAGGAATTATCGGATTACATTCTGTATTAGTCCGTGGGTGAAAACTATCAAGAAGTAATGAGCCAAAAAGTAATGCGTGTTCAGTGCTTTTTGGTAAGCAGTGGTTCGAAAGAAAACGTCAGTACATTTAATTAAAAATTAACGCATTATTTAGGTGCTTGGAATATGAGCCACACTCTGTGTGTAAGGCCTGATAATACTAACGGGTTGCTTCAACCAAAGTGGGTGGAGCGACGCTTGAAAGTCAAAAACTTTAACTCTACACTATGTGATGAAAATCATATTTAAATAACAATGATAATAATAAAATATGTTTGTGGTAAGTAGATAAATTTAACAGAAAGCTTACGTCGTAGACTGATACTGACTGTATTAGAAAAATGTATCAAAACAACGCATGAAAGCAACTTCATATTCAGTCATTATTTACTTGATATCAATCAATCAGGAAAACGATCTTCGTAATGACAAACGATTACATCAGGACAACATATAGTTCCTTTCATAATCATGAAAGAAGCAAAAACAACGATTCGAGCAGAATAGCCAGGATTCATTTTATTTCGTTTGGCTCTCGTTAGAGACCACTTGCTTCTAAATCTTCAAGCTTTTGTTGCTATCACCTTTATAGAATGATTTTTAAAATAAGACATAAATTTACAATATTTTGTTTAGTCTATTAAACCTATTTACAACTTTGCTATACTATACTGATATGTGATTATAGCGACTTTCAACTAAACTCTCTCATACAAGTAATTTGAACCCATTTTTAAATATTACAGGTTTTAAGCAGCTGATAAGAACTAAACGTAATGAAATTAATTCATGCTATTCTGCTCAAATCTTCATTCTTATTATCTTGGATATGTACAACAATTAGATTGAGCATAACTATTTCTTAAGATTTTTGTTTCCAAGTTACTGGTATTCATGAAAAAATTTTAACCAGGCATAGCATACTGTCAGTGTATTTGACAACACTAAAATGTAATAAAATTTATAAACATAAGCACTAACTAGACATGGTGTACAAATATCAAAAAAAGAATATTCAAAACACAAATCTCTTCGAATAATAATACGATATATTCAATTAAAAAAACTTATTGATCATCTAATGTTAGAAAGTTAGAAAGAACTTCCGGTCATGACACCAAAAATAAGACGAATAATCAGATACGAATACTTAAATAAGACAAATTGAGTATATCACGGACACGTCTGCTAGTCATAATCTAAAACCACGTATAACTTCCTTAACAATATAAGAAAAAATCTCCAAAATAGAAAAAAAAATTAAGGTTAATTAAGCAATACTATGTACGCATAAAGAATTTTAGTGCACACTATATGAAGAAGGAATCTAAAAATGAACTAAGCGAAATGGAAGACATAAGCACAACGTCCCAATATACGATATAATGGTTAGAAATTAGATGTAAAATCTATTCAGTCACAAATACAAAATTCCGGTTAACACTTATTTCATCATTTAACCCACATCTTCTATCACAGAACCAACATTTATCAGTCGAAAACACTAATATCAAAACTATTGGTGCAAATCATTCTCGATTATAAGTAAATGTAAAAACTGATTGACACACGTCAACATTTCGAAACAATATAGACGAAAAAAATAAAATGAACAATGAATCTGCATTTGTGCATAACGGATCAATCCACTTCAAAAGAATAACTTACTTGAGCTGTATAGTCTGGAATATAGTCAGGAATAGGCCACATTATATTCATTTGATGGACGTCATTCAGTGGGACGACATATACCATTTTCTGTGATAAAATCAAAATGTACATTTATTCTACCTTAATTCTCTAATTTACCAAATTACAATATAATAATATTTCGATAAACATTACATAGTTCAAGGAAAATAAATCATTGGTTTCATTCGCAGTTTACAATCACAGTGACAACACAACTCCGATTCTACAGGTCGATAATTAAGCAATCCACATTCTAGCACAGACATATTCTAATTTTTTAAAATTCAAAATGCATGACTTTGATTTCTGAATAGAACACTAACTGAAATGTGATTGGCATTACTCAGTCATATTATTCTCACTGATCTCCGGCAATGCCTAGTAGTATTGCACTGTACTGATGCTTCTCACAGCCATGAAGCCTCTGATACAAATTTGACATCAGAGAAAAGCTAACTTCACACGAGACATTCTACAGGCTAGAAAGTAATTAACAACTAAAAGACTAATATCAATCAATATGCTCATATCGATAAAAACAAAATTCACATCATCGTTATTCCATATACCAACTTGGAAACTATAATGCTCAATAAATATCAACTGTTATTTTCATACGTTTGGATCTCAGGTAAAACAACAGTATTGCAAAGGAACCATTAAATTCATTTTCAGCATACCTTTAATAACAGACAATGATCAGGTTACTACTTATCACATCCTTACACTCGACGCAACATTATTACTAAGCCATTATTCTCTTCTACACCTATTTCAATGTATCCAAATTCACATTCTACGTGTTCGTCATACTATAGGCAATCAACAGTCACATCGCTCACCAAAAAACTATCTTCACAAAACTGTTTCTTATCACTCTTTATATTACCACATAACCTGCTTCACGATTCTTTATAATGATTCAACATCTAATTTACAGTAACCTACTCTAACTGTGAAAAACGCAACATCCAAACGGCATAAGTAGTGACAATCAAGAATATGAACTTAAACACCTTTTGGAATCAACTAATTATCTTCTAGACTAAACACATAAGCAACAATCAAGATCATATATGCATAGTTTTACTCACAAAACATATTAAATATAATAAAAGTCAAATGAAAGTGTTACCTTGAGGCATATATCAGGCCATGGAGTATCGTTCCATGATGGTTGCACAACATTACGATCAATAACTTCCGAAAACTTATCTTCTGCAAGTTTCTCTAGGTCATTTATGGATTCTGAAAACATTTCACAAAAAACAATCACAAACACGAAGAAAACGTAAATACTGATCACACTTAATATTTAAAACCAATTCCAATTAAACGACGAAATACAAACTAAACGGTTTTGTAGTCGCTATGTTTGTAACACAAACAAGTCGGAAATATCTGATTCAGAAGTTAGATATGAGTCACAAAATGGAGCATTGTACCACTTTCTCAGCCAATTTGTTAACCAGCTTCGCTCTATACATCTTCTCTTCCTCACCTATCTAGTACTCTCCATGAATCATCGTTAGTAACCAGAAACAAAATAATCCAGACATAATAGCTGTTAAAAGCAATCTGATTATTGAGTAGCTTATGAGTTTACTTGGTAATACCTTGATGTCCATGGCCACTGCGTCAAAGACTCTAACACATAAAATAGATGCCCTAACTAATATATCAATAGAATAACACAGAATAAATATCAGTCTGACATCCTGACCTAATGATCAATCAGGAGGCAACATGTCAAAAACAACTAGTATGATAACAGTCCCAGAGTCGTCTGGTGGAAGCCAATCATGCTTAATATTGTGGTGAAACGTATGAATGGTTTTATAAACTGAAGAACCTGCTCTCCAAATGCTCTCAACCCTACATACATTGACATACTAACTATCCTCATCTGTACGAACAACTTGAAAATATTCAATCTTATCGCCAACTCATAATTGTAGATAATCGATTCCAATACACTGAAGTCATCACCACTAACACATTTTGTCGCCTGTAATTGACAGATCACAATTAAAATAAAATGACTGGGTTCGATTTCTGATGAGAAAGGTGAACAGTATAAAATCGTTTAGTTACATCTAATTTTTTAAAAGAAATTTACATCTCAAAAGTCAGCAACCTCAACAATCAATCTCAGTTCAACAATACTACATGTTATGTACCTCTTCCAAGAATAACTAGTCCCATCACATTTGACGAATACCATGTTGAATAGAACTGCAACAACCTTTCGCGTGTATTCACCGATTGTGCACAACTCGACTCAAATAAAGAGTATCGATTACCAGAGAGGAATTTCGTATAATCATGACCACATTTTGACAAGCTTCGCTCTAGCTGAAAAAGACGTCTAGTATCATTACTAATGTCCTTCTCATGTTCCGACTGTACAGCACTCACCTAAAATTAAAACGTGGCTTGTTAGTGGTAGTCAAAACAGTAAAATTATTATGGCAAATTATCTATGACGTTGTCACTTGGTACCAGTACCACCAAACAAGTATAATTCACTAAGCCAACGGGTATTACTAAGTGTTTTAAATAAAGTAGCTAATAAACTCCATATTGATAACTACAGAAAACGAATGCAGGGCTCTCAAAAATTCGAAGCATAGCACTTTTATTTAGAAAACGTCTATTACCAAGCTAACAGAGGGTAAAACAATACAATCAAGTCCCTTCTGTTTACAAATATAGTGATGACGATATCAGTTCTGGGAGCATGTATTTTAACGGTCTTCACCTGAGAATTCGGAAGAGTGATACGACCACAATTAAAAAGCGTAAGAAATTTTTTCAGTTCGCTACGAAATTCAAAATATAATACCGCATTTGCGTTAAAATGGATAACAAGTCCCTTTACAAACCAATTTTTGACGATCATTATTCAACCAAAATGTGCGAATAAAATAATATCTGTGATCAGTTCCGCAATGTGCTTTAAAATTTATACTAGGCGAGAACGAACATGGATGCAGAATAAAATGAATTCATCATATTTTTTACTTTTTTATCAGCTGCTTACAACTAAATATGTGTTTAAATTTTACATTGAGGTAAGATATAGTGTGAAACGATTGACATAAGTGAATGTAAAGAATTGAAATGACAATGGTTATCAATAATAACCATATATATATGCTTCAGAATTGACCACAATTCAAATGAATTTCTAATTTTAACATATTTATATCAATCAAGTTAAATTACATTTTGATTTCACTCTTATCCCCTATTCTCACTCTAGCTTCAATATACTCTTGACACCGTTATCTGCAGTAGTAGGCTTTATTTTCTGATTGACATCACTTATGCACTAACACCGTCACACGGATCGACACGCACTGGTGCTTTGCCATAACTGTTTTCGTTGAAACAAATTACCCACACAAGCACAAAATCTTAAGCAGTACAAGGCATCCAACTATTACATTTTACAATAAAAGATGAAATAATCACAAAAATAATCCTTCATGAAGTCGAAAGACTTTACCTTCGTTATTTAGAACAAAGTTGCATAATATCTACATTAAAATAACCAGCTAGTGTCCGCAAACGAGAGATACTACCACCCTATCTAAAATCAGGTGAATAAACGGAGTTTCGAAACTATAACCTGGAAATCCATTATGACTATAGCTACTCTTTCGTTAGTTGCTTATATTATTAATATATTGGTCTTACCTTTCTCAATATCAATTATTATCTACATATGCAAGACAGCTGTACCCTGGTTTATCTTTCATAAACACAATACAAAACATTCTGATGAGACTATCTATATTTCTCCATCTAGCTTGTCGGTCACTACGATTGCAGCTGTACTACAGTGAAGCGGAAGCAGATATCGGACTACTGCATTCAGAATACAACCTTGAATATAATGGAAGAGGCACATCACCTACACGTGCTGCATATTACAATACTTTATACATAATCTCATTCTCGAACGGAGAAGGACGTATTCAATAGAGTAAGAAATAAGACAACCTACAACACCAATCTGTGCACACATAGTAGATAGCAATATTCGATAAACAAAGTCTTGTGAGAGCAGTTTTACATTTAATGTATCATTGCAAAAAACGCTCTAAAACTACCACAATCCTTCTTATTCGACAAGTGAAATGCAGTTGATAAATTTTCATAACAAATCAAAATCATATAAAATCATTGTTCACTGTAAAATTATAGGTGGTGTTCATCAATTCTGAGCCCAGAGGTAAAACTCAAAACATATTATATAATTGATCGGGCTATGATATTTAGAAAACCTTGAATGTTTGAATTTAGTGACCTCATACCACTAACTTAATATCATATCACACCACCTAAACATTTTTAATTTTTCACGTAATTAATGAAAAGACTGATAGAAACTCTCATATGCACCAAACATTTCTTTGAAAAAAACCTGTGCACCGAGACGGAAATCATTGTCGTAGTATTGAAACCACGTTCCATTCACAACAAACTAACAAACAAACGCTTGACACGTACTGTAACCAGATTAAAACTAACCTCACGTTCTGTTGCAGAATCGGTGAAAAGAGGGCAGATGAAGAACTGTGAGAAAATATCCAATGCACCCTTCAAACTTTCAGGTGCAACATCAAACACATAAGAAGTTCTATCTGGACTCGTAAAAGCATTACAGTGACCACCATGATCGGTTATGTACTTCAAATAGGTATTTTCAGTTGGAAATGATTTCGTACCAAGAAACAACATATGCTCACAAAAGTGTGCGAGACCAGGCAGTTCTTTCGGATCCGACAGTGAACCTAGGATTATAACACTGAAACAACTACCATCAACATACCAATGTTCACAGATAAACACACTGCAGATTTATCTGTTTCCGGATCACTTATAAGAAGCACTTTCATCCTATTGCATAAACGCATCACTTTATATTCTCTCAAGTCATTTGCAGACTTTTGCACTACTGGAGGTGAAGAATCTACCGAATTCATACAATCCATGATCGACATTCAATTTGAGTAACAAATTGCACAATATATATACAAATATGGGGTAGGTAACAAGGTGAACCAATCCGAACAACTAAAAAACAAGACAAATGAATAAACAAAATTAAATTAAGGTAAATAGGTGGACATATACATCCACTGTAGACTGAGGTGCTCTAAAAATTGAACCAATGCAAAGTGTAGTAGAGTGGCAAACCACTTTGATTCAATTGATTCATGCCTAAAAGTTTGGTACTTCGCATAAGAAACAATCATTACACATCGTAGTGGATAACAAGTGATGAAGGAACGTAGTGAATATGAATGATTATCCTTCAACCACTAAAGTAAAAATCATAGCACACAAGACATCTTAAACAGTAATTTGTATATGTCTATGTCGAGATACGATCGTTTTCAAGGAAGTCAAACATTGCACAGACTGTTTATAACAAAACCTGTGTTCTTTTAATAATCAGTAGTCAGTCAGTTAGTCAGCTACAACGTAGGACCAGGCACATATATGCATCGGTCCAGGTTGCCATACCTCATTAACACAACAAGATGGACACCGGATTCATAGGAGTGGTTAGGTCAAACGTGGTAATATATAGGAGAAAGATTGCAATAAGGATACAGTACGGGAAGAAAGAATTAGTTAGTAGAAAGAAACATATGAAGCGATTTTAATCTCTTAGTTTAAGGAAAGACAGGGAGTGTATGCACCGACGCCATTGTGATCGATTCCGAACCATGTCACCAAGAGTCTCCAACAATCGGTTACGAAAGTCACGCAGACCCCAAACAAGTAGTCTGCACCTACCAACATGACTCAGACCAGAAGTTAGTGACTTCAAGCACTGATGCCACGTTTTGGTTTGGCCGCCGCTAACTTTCTTCCAACCATCCCCAACAGCGGTTAGCATTGCACGTCGTGGTAATCGGTGTTCGGGCATACGTAACACGTGGCCCAACCATCTTAGTCGATGAAGATTCACAACCTCATCAACTGATTTACCATCATTACCTAATACCCTGCGTCTAACCTCACTATTATTTACCCGGTGATCCCAACAGACGCCAGCAATATTTCTAAGGCATCTGTGGTCAAATACTAGTAGCTTACGGGTGTCTTCTACTCTTAAAGGACATGTTTCGCTGCCGTAAAGTAAAACAGAACGGACTGCCGCGCAGTATACTCGTCCTTTTATTGATAGACGGATATCTCGCCTTCGCCAAAGGTGACGTAATTTGGCAAAAGCCAAACGAGCTTTTCAAATCCGTGCTGAGATTTCGTCAGACATCAACTCATCAGGGCTGATCAGACTTCCAAGATAAGTGAAGTTGTCAATGCGTTCGACTACTTCACTCCCTATCCTTAGTTCAGGTGTTGAAGTAGACCAGTCCTGAAGCGACAACTTGCATTTAGAAGGAGAGAAGCGCATTCCAAACATTCTGGCATTGTTGCTTAGTGCTATCAAAATACTCTGCATTTTGTCAGCCTCTTCACCAAACAGGACTATATCATCTGCGTATTCTAAGTCGATAAGTGGACCTCCTGGAAGGAGATCAATACCCGATAATTCAGTCGACGAGAAAGTTGTTTCCATCAGTAGGTCTATGATGAAATTTTAAAATATGGAAAAAGTTGACAGTCTTGACGGACACCACTTGAGGTTGCAAAAGCAGATGACAGTTCGCCATAAGCTCTGACTCGACTAGTAGTGTTCGAGTAGAGAGCCTTCACAAGGTTTATGTACTTCCAAGGTACGCCTTTCAATGACAGACACTGCCACAGAATTTCGCGGTTTACAGAGTCAAATGCTGCTTTAAAGTCAAGAAAGACCACCACTGTCGGTCGCCGATAAGTATGTCTGTATTCTAGAACCTGACGAATGGTGAATATGTGGTCGATGCAGCCACGACCAGGTCTGAAGCCAGCTTGGTTCTCTCGTGTTTGCAGTTCACGAGTCTTAGTTAGGCGTCTGATAATTATCGAAGCTAGTATTTTAGATACTATATTAGTTAAACTAATTCCTCTGTGGTTGTCACAAGATGATTTTGACCCTTTCTTATATACTGGGACGATAAGTGATTGCGACCAGTCAGATGGAATAACATCTAACTCCCAGATCTTAGCTGAAATATTAGCCAACCTATTCGCTAAAATTGCAACATCATCCTTAAAGACTTCTGAAGCCAATCCATCTGGACCAGCTGCCCTTCCTCGTTTCAGATTAACTATAGACTTTTGAACTTCTGCTAGAGTTGGGGGACTTATTTCAATGTTCCATTTACACTGTCTGGGAATGGAGGGTAGTTGTAGAGTCGCTGAAGGCCAGCTGAACTGTCCCATAAAGTGTTCCGCCCATCGTTCTAAACGTCTGGACTGGGAATAGATGAGAGTATCGTCTTTTTCCGAAATAATCTCACTTACACTTGACTTATTAGTTCCAATTTCTTTTATTAGTCCATAAAGCTGTCTTGTGTTCCCTATAGTCGCCGCCTTTTCCATCTCTTTTGCTAATCTACAGACCCAACTTAATGGAAGCAACAATCCTATAGATACAATCGTCATAAATATTTAAATGCACGACACTTGATATTACTAATAACATGATTATATCACACCACTGAACACATATAAACTAACAGTAACTATGCAGCGACGTATATGCGTTTCGATTGTAGACTGGACTAGGTGAAAACCAGACGTCCGAGTCTGGTTTTTGATCATTTCATCTTTCGCTATCAGTCCCTTTTTATAGTTGTGTGCTAAGTGATTTGTATTGAAAACGTTTTTTCCAAATTTTTACTTGCCGATAAATTGCTTCAAATGAAAATCGTCTATAACATGCATTCTGGATAACTGATTTTTTAGATGGTTCTATAATTGTGTATTCCCGTTCATGATTATGCTGTAATAACATTTTTATAATGACATGCCACAATATAAATATCACTTAGCTAAACTTGAAAATACTGAAGATTCACGCGATTTTTCACATACAGATGGAAACTTTATATACTATTATAATATGAAATATTAGATTTGGAGTAGGATAATAATGCTGCTGTTCACATAATTTATTTGATATGTATGAACTCTGTGTCCTTTCACTTATGAATTCTGATTCGACTGATGTGCACCCGTGACATATTTAGATTCAGATGAACTTTTCTCAAGACATCTAGTCAAAAACATAACCGATTAGGGGTATCGTAGGATAAATAAACTCTCCAAAGAATCACTTGTTGGCACGAAAATGGTAAAAAGAAATATATGATATAGATCTCGCAAAATGCTGTCAAAAAGCTAAGTTCCGGCCCGATTACTCCCACATTCCTCAATCAGCCACCGTACATCCAAACTTTACCTCATATTTGTACACCTAGAGAAGATGTCAGAAAACAACAACAGCTCCCAACTTTGGTGAAAGTTTGACCCATTTTGGGGAAGCCGCTATAGTTAACTTTGGGTTAAAAAAAAAGCACTAAAACTCCGAAATTCCACTAGAAATGTGGAAATTCCCCAATATCTCCCCACAATTCCCCTTTAACCTTGATGAAAGTCATTTGACTTCGGACTTTCCTCAAAGCACCCCGAAATTCCCCCAAACTTTGGGGAAGGCTATTTCACTTTGGGGATTTCCCCTAAATTTCCCCAAAGCTGGCATCTTGGGTAGTGCACGATCATAATCTATGGATTGCTAAAAAAGTCTAAAAACAGTAACAGCACTGTAATATTATTAAAGTATAAACTTCTCGGAACAAAAAACACTTTTTAACAGACAAAATACATAGACTTAACACCAAGTCGAAAAAATTCAAATTGACGATAGTTGTATTGTCGTGAAGTACTAGCAAGGTCACTAACAAGGTTGACATCCAATCAACAATATCGTTATGACAGACCAATGTTATTTAGCCGATTATTTCACACTCGTATTAAGATTTCGACAGTGCAAAAACAGATTCTTGGGGTGTCTTTGTTCATTTAAAGGACAAAAATCTTCCAGTAACTCTGCTTTCTTTGAAAATGGAAACCAAGTTCCTTTTACCGCATTTCTAATGATTTAAATCCTTGTGGAAACAAATAGAAGAGTCTTCTGTATAGCGAATCTTCCTTTTTATAAATTTACGGACCTCTTTTTTCTCCCAATAAGGATCTGAGCATATAAAAGTCAAGAATCCTATAGTTCTTCAGAGCTTGACAACGTGCACTTTACAAACCGGGAGTTTGATCCTAATGTGATTTGCATTTCTCAAACTTTTGCTGTTTCCTTACGCAACAAAAGTGCCATTTTTGATCCAAAGAATCTATCCTGTGCTTTACGTTTGATAGGTTACTTTTGTTTTTGAGTTTTAAACTGAGTAAATAGTTGACTATGAATTTCGACAACGCTAGTATCAACGGGGCTTGCAATGACACTAGCACCATCATAACATCGACGGTACTAGACTCCCCCAGCAAATTTGGGTCGCCAAGCACAGGATCCCTGTATGCGATTGTACCCTCGTCAACAAAGTTATAAATGACCGGGTGTCACCATTTAAGAAGCTGAACATCCAGATATTGTAATGAAATCAACTGGTTATATGACCGTACAGTCTGCTCTCAAGACTTTCCAAACGGTCATCAAAGATCACAGAAATCTGAAACGTTCTTCCACCACCAAACAACATGGTACTCAACCTGAATGTAACCGAAAACCTGGGAAAACAATCACGATTTGTGATGATTCTCTCATAATCATGAACGTTAAAGACAACCCTGACATTCATCTCAGCTTTCAGAACAAACACGATAGGATGCTCTGGGAGAAGCCCAACCTTCTCAAAATAGAGCCTCTGACGGTAACATGGCTTACTCGGAAAAAGCACCCCAAGCTTCAAAATCACCCAAGTCGTAGAGGATATAATGTTGGCTGGTCATTTACTGAAATCAGATGGGAATGTAAGAATGCTGCCTGATGTATCGTATTCTGAGCGTAATCTCATCCAGAACATCCATAATGAATCTCGCGAGAAGTTTATCGGCGAAAGAAATATTTTTCTGTAATGTGTACCAGCAAATACGGATCCGGACCACACAGACTCTAATGTTCGAAAATGGGCATTCATCAAGCAGTCCGTGAAGCTCAAAAATATATTGGATCAACAAGTGGTGAGACCAGCCAAGAAGGACGTGGATTCTAGAACTTCCCATCTATTCTCACACTCGCTAAGCCAAGACACATTACCGAAAAATTATGGAGTCCCTGATATGCGACGGCATAGACGACCACTCATTATCGATAAACATTTTTCACCCGAACAAAGCATTTCACATGTCACTCTTGCATATCCAACCTGCTGACTGCGGTGAGTAGGTGAACAACCATCCTTGATAGCAAGGGGGAAGGTTGACATCATTTACCATGACCTATTTAAAGCTTTTGATAGGGTCAACTATATGTTTCTTATCAATAAGCTTAAACAATTAGGAATCAAATCTCATGATAAGTAATGTCTTAGTAGGGTCATTCAGGATTCAGTAATAGAACCTATTCTTTTCCTGATAAATGACCTTACACAACAGATATTTTGGTCTAGTTATTGGACTCTAATGAACTTCCGTCGTGATCATTAAGTATATGGGATAGTATCTTCACTGTGAAGCCTGTATTGTTGAATTTTGGAGGAGAAAGACCAACATAATCAATGTTTTTTAAATAAGCCACTTTTTACTGTTAATGCCCTTTCGTTTCATTTTCATTGACTGTGTAGTACTTAGATTTGCGATGAAGGACTTTGAAGGGTCCTTTTTATCACGTTTCAAGGTGTCTTCATAATCAATCACGAAGTAGAAAAACACGTGGGTTGGAAATTTTGTGCAACCTAACGAAGACATTAGGTCAATACTGTTTCGCCACGATTGGACTACTACTCATGGTAGACGGGGCACATAGTAAAGTTTCACAACCTGTTGCTATCTTCTCGATTCACAGTCTCGGGGTTGTCCAGGGTACCCCGTGCTGACGAACGGAGTCTTGCTTTTGAAGCTGATCGCGTTCAAGGAGGCCAATACATGTCCAAAAATGTTATACGAGACAAGGCATCTGCCACTACACTGTTCACTCTGAAATATGCTGTATATTTGAATTAAACTGCGAGGCACATTCCGGCTGTTGAGTGAAGTAAAGGTGAACAAACAAAAATTGTGTGAGGTCAACAACCAAAAGATTTAGTGAGTTCCCGGCCTTCCATAGAGAATTAGACGTGCCGTACAGCACAATTCATTGGTGGAAGTTCTCTGTTGAAAATGTTATACCTCGATTGACGTCTTGGTATGCAAATATGGTCGCTTTCGAGATAGTTTCTTTAGCTTTGCAGATTGCGCGTTTTGCTATGTCGTCCAAATTGATTGATTTCTCACTTTCATGATATTGGTCGGTTAAAGGTACCATTAGAGTCGCTCATTTTGGTATGAACAGTCAATGGAAACTTACCAGGTCGTTAAACATGCGTAAATGCTTGCTTGTGGTCGGTTTTGAGTAATCCTGAGTACTCGGAACTTTACGTGTTTGAGAGTAAAGAACTTAAGCGTTAATAGTGTGTCCTAGAAAATCTAGGGAGTTGGTGCTGATTTGAACTTTCGGATTGTTTACAATAATGTCATGCTTCTGTAGTCTTTCGAAGATAAGGTCCAGATTTTGGAGAAGAAATTCTTTTTCCGGACTTGCGAACAATAGTCATTTACATATATGTGTAGGGAGTTGAAACCTCAAAAGACGTCGTCAGTGGTCTCCGGGAAGTTTGTTCATCGTTTCTTAAATCAAAAAGCACGCGCAAAATTCGTTGAGTCCGAAGGCGTTAAGATAAGAGCTGTTTGAGGGATGTTGTGTGCAGCCATAGGAAATTGGTTACAAGCTTTTACTAAACAGATTTTCGAAAACATCGTTATACCTTTTGAAGCAGCTGTCAAAGAGTGGAAGTGCAGCAGGACCTATCGGTCGAGAGTGGAGGTCGTATTCAGTAGTTGATAGATAATGCGTGAACACCAATCAATTCTATCGATTTTAGGGAACATATGAAAGGGAGATGACGATAAACTCTTCTATCGACAAATATTTTTGAAATCATAACGTGATCGAACTTGTTCATGGCCAACCTCAGCTTATCAGGAGCGCTTTCGAGAATACATTACGTTTTGGTTATCAACTTAAGACGTTTAAGAGTGAGATATGTGCAGACGGAAAACAGAGGGAATAATCATGATACTAACAATAATAATAATAATAATCAATATGTGCATAGGTGTACTTCGGATATCTAGATGTATAAAAAATAAGCGAACGAAATTTCAGAGTTTCTAATTTACTTTGTAGTCCATTGGATAGATATCGGGCCTTGTTTGTAGAAATCACTGGTAATCACACTAATATTTAATATGTGACACAAACAAATTTTAAGGAGAAAGTCATCGAAATCTTTCAGTCGTGTTATAGTTTCACTGCAATGGAGGCCTCCGGAATCTGTTCCACGTGATGGAATAGCGAATAGCGAAAAAATTCCGGCGTTCGTTTTTGTATGTTTTCGGAATAGCTAAGATATTCTCTTAATTGCGCAGGTTGCTTGACTACGGTTTTTTCCGGGTGATCTAGAATGGTCTCGAGTTTCCTTATCGAGGGCGAATACCTAGGTCGTCGAAATTGTCTGAGAAAATTATGTGAATCAGTTTTGATCTGGCATTTCCGAATACTTACAGCAATGCCTTGTTTTTGGAGTAAGTCGAGAACAACGTACTGGCTTATGTATAAATTCACCTATAACCAACAGTTGGAGGCCAATCGTCGCTGTTTCTTTCAGAGACTGTACAAAGGCGATACCAATAGGCTGTTCGGCTGCCGGACAATTCCCAGGTCAATCATATGCTCGGCCATCTATGTTTTCTTGTTTTAAGCTTTTCGTTGACTGAACAAACTTCGGTGATGTGAGTCTTATTGACAGACACAAACTGATCAGCAAACGTAGCCAGTCTGTTCACGGAGTTACTATGAAATGAGACGAACTGGTGACACCCTAGATAAGAACCGTTTAAAAAGCCGTCAAAGGCCCGTCAACCAGTGACCTCCCGTATACGTGTCAACATCCCTGTTGATGAGCCATGTTTTAATTTGATATTTCGGAATAGTTGATCTTACCTTTGTTCATCGCTTAGGTCTGTGCGTTTGAGAATAGGCTTTTTTGGTCCCATAAGGTCCACAAACGTCACTAGCAAACCCACAAAGTGTAGCGTACCCACTAAAACCGCGAGGTAGTGCCGTCACTCCTGCGAGTAATTGAGCACGTGGGTCAATCACTCCGTGCTTGTGAAAGTTACCTTACGCGTAGCAGAACCAGACCTCAATATTATCGGGTCAGAATGGCATAAATTAAAATGCCGAGGTCGTAAGGGTCCTAATATTTAATGATTTGTGGGTACACGTATCCCCAGAATACATCCATGAAGTACTTCTGTTTATAGCTACATGCCAAGGCTCTGCCACACTGTACCTTCACCCCTTTTTAAGTGATGATGTCAGTAGGTAGCTCACTTTGTGAACCATAGTCCTGTTCCGATTGTAACTGGCCATTTCATCAGTATACACTGGTTTCAGATATACTCGAGTAGTCACACTGTAAAATAATACAACTCATGTAATTTAACATGAGGTCAGCTTGTCATTATATGTACCAATTACAACTACCTATGACAAATGACAAGCTTCCAAAAGAAACTACTGAGTTCTACATTAACCCCATCACGTCGTTTATACTGCACAGTATTTAAATAACCAGTTTCATTCAGTAAGCTATTGAACAGCTGTTATCCCTCAATATTAAGTCTTGAACTGTATTCAAACCATCCCTTATACGCCATATTATCGATTAAAACAATAAGTTTATTTTATCTAAAAGTATTTTTAAAACAAGATATTCACTTCTGTGAGTAATCGAGCACGTGGATCAATCACTCCGTGCTTGTATTAAGATTTTTGTAAAGATTCAAACGATATAGAAGACATAATCCAATGTTTATGTAATGAAAATATTTTATCAATATTCATTTATTGTGCAAACTTATCTATTCCAAAATCAACTTCCAAAGCTGACTTCTTTGAATGATTGGTATACTATTTTCTACTCATCATAGTTTACAAATGATGTTTTAGAAAAAAAGTACAATCAGCTGGAAACTAAGTAGGAATTTGAAGAAATACCCCTTACTACACTGCTAGAATGAGAAGAGTAACTCTCCTCTGAAAGTATGTAGCACTGTATGAGGTCTACTGGACGAATATTGTGGGACAACCAAATGCGATAATGATAACCTAATTACCTATGGATTTACAGTCAGATCAAGGGAAAAATCACACACAATTACAAATAGAAAGACCGTTAAAAAGCTACTAGGTGTATGTCTTCCAAAATCCACTTTCATTTTATATCCTCTCCGCTAAAATAGCATACTAATTAAATTTGTATGAAATTAAATTTGTGTTACAGCATAAAGGAAATAAATAGACAGAAAACTAGAATTCATATATTACTGGACTTTATTTAGATGTGACTTAATTTACAAAACCTAGTTGTTACTATAAAAACATGAAAGTGTACAATATAGATATAAACTCACGGATGTTGAGGTCAAAATAAAGATTGATAAGCAGAGAGCCTTAAGAAGGATTGTTAGCGCTGGGAAATCAATTGAAACAATAATGACTGAGACACATAGTGGAATACTATATCAAACTGTATCTTGGACACATGTTCAGACGAAAATAAATCTTTCAAATATTATCAAAATATCGAAACAATTTATAACGTCTACAGTGAATCCTGAATGAAAAACTTGGAAGTTACTCAGTAATCCTCCCCACGAGAGACAACTTCTTTACATGTTGGCCTTAGCAAAATCGTGTGCTCCCATTGAGCAGTGTAGCAACCACGTTGATCACACAGAGGCGGATATGGATCTACTATTCCAACGTCACATAGGTTCTTTAGGGCCATAAGATATTTTGTCTCACCTAAACGATCTAACCAACGGCGACAAAATGCAAGAGTACTGAAATTACGATCTATCACATTCAACAGTTGTTTCGATTTCGCCAACCTACACAATAAGAAAATGAAATCCAAAAGAATGTTAAAAATTTCAAAGATTTGAAACAAAAGAACAACTGTTTAGTTCGATTTCTGAACGTAGAACACACCAATTTAAAAAGGATCAGTAAATTTAATACAATTATAGAGTTTAACAAGACTTTTATTTCAAATGATCTTCACGCTTAGAAGGTTTAGTTGTAGGTAGTAAACATATTCAATTAAAGCCTTTTGATATCAGTATGACCGAGAGGGGAGAGCGAAACGGGCTGTGGGATAGAAGATAGTATACGATATGAATCGATAGTAAATTAAAAACAAAAATAAATAAACGTCTGTTTTAGCTTTTCTGAACAGGATAATATTTCACATCTTGAAACACGAAGCAGACAATGAATTAAAAACTGAATAGTCGAACTAACTAATAAATTTTGCTCGTGTTTATTTGGTTAGAACCCTAGGTACCGATAGATATGAAGTTATACAAACTCGTAACTTCGTAAAACTATATATGAATATCAATCTAGAAGGTACGGTGTTGAGTCACTGAAGTTCACAGACTGTAACTGGCGAAATAATCGTGAAAAGGGAAAAATTAGACAGGATGAATTACAAAGCCATCAGTACGGTGCAAGAAATACTGACGTAGAATTACAGAGATGGGAATGGAAGTAACAGTTGATATAAAACCTTTCATGTACTAGTTAGTGTTGTAAAAAGAATACTAGATTTTTTCCAAACTGAGTTAATAACAGCGTTAGATCGACAAAAAGTCTGATAAACTAAGAACCGTACAATTAAAAAAATGCAGTTTTATTGAATCAGTACAAAGTTAATAAAAGTACCTCAGAGGAACATGTCTAACGTCGAAATTCTTCATATAGTGCGAAACTTCATCTCCATCAATAACATAACCTTTTCCTGTACTACCAAACGTTTCGATTGCATAATATTCATTTTCCTTAAAAAAACGTAACAAAAAAAGGTAATATAAAGCTAACATTTTATTTTGAAAACGAAATAACGTAAGAATCACACAGATGATTAATGGACATACCTCCATACGAGTTTGCTCCCCTCCACGTACGATTGGCACAGTTTTCCCCGCATGAATTTGGTATGGCCCCAAAGAATGACCATTCAAATTACGTATAGGTTTCACTGAATTGATATAATGATAGTGTGATTTATTATACTAATTATCATAGCATAATTACATGTAAAAAGAGAATAACATAAACGAACAACTATACATAAAATTAGAAACAACAACCAATTGGATTGGGGGGAAAACCTTATGGTATCTAATCCTATAGTCATCTATAGCAAATAAATGTACTTACCTAAATTGATAAACATATTGCGGGATCACTCACACAGATAGATCCTTCTTAAGATAAATTTAGGACAAACGAGAAAAATAGCCATATCACTTGCACAGAAGAACTATGTCGCAAAGATGATATAAGTTTGAACATACAACTCAGGAAAGAATATGTGAGAATGTTTCAAATAATTCATCTGGCTAAATTATTCATAGTCAACTTATCGGTGTATTCATATACTCAAATTATTAATTTGGGTTGACTTCCATTTTTCTTTACCAATTCTCGTTGCTGAATATTGTTTTGTGGACTCATGCAAATATTGTCAATCTCTTAAAAATAATGTTCACGGTTACTTCTATAACAAGAAGAATCATCTATATAAACAACTGATCGTCACAACTATGAATGTGGAGACAAACCAAAACAGTTAAGTTTTAAAAAGTGCCACATGGTAGGAAAATTAAGATAGCCTATTCATTTTAACGAATTTCTCGTGATCCACAACCCGTGTTACAAATTTCAGTCCATTAATTGTACTACAATATTAATACCACAATATTTAACTGAAAGTACTAATTAGTGTAGTTCGAATTCTTTCAGTCCCACTAAAAATTTCATTTACTAGATCCGAAATCGTCCAACAAAATACATCAATAGAATTTCACCACCAATCAGCCTAGCTAAAGGTATAAATGATTGGTTTTATCTGTGATACTAAGATACTTCTTTTTATATTTGACAAGTATCATGCAAGAGGTATCCATACAAGTTGGACTTGATAGTTTCAAATAAATTGACAATTGGGGTAGAGAGTTATTAAATATAATTTTTCTTCTATCCCAATGAGTAGAAAAATCATTTTTCTGACGTTTCGTGACTTAATGTAAGCCACTTCTTCAGAGTAAATATATGTCGGTTATTTATAAAAATACAACTTTTCTACTCATTGGAATATAACAAATATATATGTATATATATTATTATGCAGGAAACTTAAAAAGTAATTGCTTTAACTTTGTTTAGTATATTATTCGTAAAAAAATTGAATCAGTAGAAATTATGGAAACTGGAATTACTTTTTAAGAATAACTCATTAAAATCATGATAGTAAGCGAGTTACCCTGGTAAGTATTTCCATCTAATTCTACTTCATAGGACTCCATAGTCTCCTGAATGGCTGCTCCAACATCACACAAACGTACGTCAATGCCAGCTGCCTAAAATTGCACAAGATGAGGAATTCATAATCACAAGTTGATCGGTATTTAAATTTATAAAAACAATGAACACAAGTCAATGGCAAATCCAAATATATTGCGATTTTAAAATTCAATAACTCATGTTTCAAATGTGTTACAAAACATAAAGGCTACAATAATCTAATCTTTGAAAACGCTTACGCGCTTTTTTATCTTGATTGATCGCCGAAACGGCAATACTATGCTCAATGATACCAGAGGGAGAGGAAGAATGTATATATTTGTATCAATCCAATCACCTGATGTCCTTAAACATGAATTACAGTTCTACCGATCATAGTGGCCATAATTTGGCACGATCTCAACTCATTACAATAGTCTATGAATAAAAATTTGCTCACTAAAACGCCAACTTTGTTTAATACGTCCCACCTATATTCTACTCTTTGACATATTACAAAACAGAATGTAATTTTGACGAAACTTAAGAAGTAGAAGTTTATGTGGCACGCTATGAGTCAAGCCAACGAAATAAGAGATAGCCCATCTCTTTGGTGCAAGGTGTAGGAGATTTATTCGTAATTCAGTCACTGAAAGTCCGGCACGTTATGTACTGGAAAACAGCTCAACTTTCAGACTGCTACCATAAGGCTATTAGGTAAATGCCTTCAGATACCAATAATACATACATGTGGATCAGTCAGTCAGCTACGATGTAGGACCAAGCACATATATGCATCGATTCAAGTTGCCATACCCGATTAGCCAAACAAGATGAACACAAAATTCATAGAAGCAGTTACTTCAATGTTAGTAATATATAAAAGAAAGATTGTGTATAACGAAATAGTACCGGAAGAAAGAATCAGTTCGCAGAAATAAGAGTATAAAGCAATTTTAATCTCATTGTTTAAGGGAAGACAAAGAGTGTATACACCTGCAATATTGTGATCGATTCTGAGCCATATCACCCAGAGTCTTCAACCATTGGTTATGATAGTCGCACGGACCTCAAACAAGTGGTCTGCATCTACCAACATGACTCAGACCAGAAGTTAGTGACTTCAAGCACTGATGCCACGTTTTGGTTTGGCTGATCCTAACTTCCCTCCAACCGTCTCCGACACTTATCAGCATTGTGAGTCTTGGTAGTCGGTGTTCAGGCATACGTAACACGTGGCCCAACCATCTCAGTCTATGTAGATACACAAGCTCATCAACTGATTTGGCATTAATCTCTGGTACCATGCGCCTAACTTCATCATTACTTACCCGGTGATTTCAGCAGATGCGAGCAGTATTTCTAAGACATATAAGATCAAACACTAGAAACTTACTACTATCTTCTACTCTTAATGGCCGCGTTTCGCAGCCATAAAGTAGGACAGAACGAACTGCTGCACAGCATACTCGTCTTCCCCATAGATGACGTGAGTTGGCAAAAGACAAGCGAGCTTTCTGAATCCGTCCAACGACTACGTCAGACACCAACACATTAGGGCTGATCAGACTTCCACGATAAGTGAAGTTGCCGATGAGTTTTACTACTTCACTCCCTATCCTTAGTTCAGGTGTTGACGCAGGTCAGTCCTGGAGCAACAACTTTCATTTAGAGGGGGAATAGTTATTTCAATGGTAAGAGCCCATTAGGGCTGATCAGACTTCCACGATGAATGAAGTAGTCGAACTCGTCGACAACTTCACTCCCTATCCCTTAGTTCAGGTGTTGACGCAGACCAGTGTGGATAAATTTGAAAGGTCATATTACAATAGATAAACATACCTTAATACCAGTATTAGTTGCATCCTTAACAGCCTCTACCAAAGTATCAAACTTAGGATTAAAGTGAAGTGTGAAAGCACAATCAATAATACGACCTGAAATTAAACCAAAAATACTATAAGCTACTACAGTTATGAATTATACAACAAACAAAAATATTTGTTCACTCAACTTAATTGGTTCGAAGATAGATGTTGAGATTTTACTGTACATGATTATTACAATACTACAATTCATCGGACTACTGATGGTAATTCAATCAAATATTTCAGATATCAAGTATACATCCATGTACTCATTTTCAGTTAAAATTTGTGTGGGGACTAGCAGTAAGAAGCGTATGATTTAAACAAAAGTGATTGGAGAAGAGTTCGGTCTTACTTTCCGGTAGTTGGGCGCAAAGTTATTTAACCACTAAGCCATTGTTTAAACTGCGTTTTAATAATATGTAGTATGCCGACTTATTAACAAGATGCATAAAAATTTGCAAGATCAATAGTTGAAAGCCAGAAAAATGAACAAAAGGCAGTCGTATTTGAGCAAGAAACTTGTTTAATTATGCTTTCATGGATATAAAACATATTGACTTATGTTTTTTAGGACAAAAGTACTAATTGAATAGGTCCCCACAATACAATGATTTACCTTCATATCAATAGGAAGCAATATTTCTTTCCAAAACCACTAACCAAATGTTTAGACCGACAGGAAATCGCGATAGATTACAAAAAATTAAGCTTACACAAGCAAGGCGATTAACTTTGACTACGTTGACATAGTTATATTTCGTAAAGCTTGGTAAAGATAGCACTGAATTAAGAACCGATCAACGGTAGTCTAACATTGATCGGTTCATAATATATCAAAAATCAACAGGCTCTACAACTCTACACTGATAAAACTTGTTTAGTCTATCAAAAGTAAGATACCTTAACAACCTATCAACAAAGACAATGTTGACTTACCATTTACATGTACTCCAAAATCAATTTTGCATACATCGTCATAATTTAGAACTGTATTATCACCCCCATTAGGAGTGTAATGAGCTGCACAATGATTAATTGAACAACCTGTTGGAAAAGCTAAGCCTGCATCCAATCCGCGTTCTAAAATGAGTGCACGGCTAGTGCGTTCGAGTTCTTCACACATATCGATGAGACGAATACCCGGACGTATCCATTTCTTAATATAGTTTCTCGTTTGTCTATGAACCTCTGCACCTTCACGAAACTGTTGATAGATCTCTATATGAGCATTGTCACGAGCTTTGCACTCTTCTGATGTTGTGCGATTGATAGCTGTACGACTACAAGAAGAATTAAGTACTTAGTAATCTTAATCTATGGACAAAATTCAACTAACCTCAGCACTCCCCACTCCATTTTTAAATGATACATAAGTAATACTTCAAAGACACCTGTGACCCAAAAATAAGAACCTACGAATGTCCTCTGCTTTTGAGCACCGAAGTTTACACTCATAAAGCAAAACACAGAGAACCGCTGAACAGTAGACTAGTCTCTTCGTCGGAGAAAAAACAAGCTGACAAAAGCCAGACGAGCTTTCCGAAACCATCTCAAGATTTCGTCAAATAACAAACAACCGGATGTCATGAGTGGTAAACCGACTCAATTACTTCACCACCTACCATTAGGTCATTGTCTATGATCGGTCAATTTGGCCTGAATACTTCGATACTTATGATCATTTATCATTTGATTATTCCATAATAATTTAAGCAACAAAAAGTACTATTGACCACACATTTCTTCTTTATAACATACCATATTTATCTCTGTACCTTCCAAGAGTGATCACTTCTTAGACTACCATGAAATGTTCAAGAAACGTAGTTGAGTTACTGAGAGGTCATTTTACTAAAACTGGGAGAATGACTATTGGTGAACTAGGGCAAAAACGCAAGCCTCTAGAAATACACTGGAAATTGTCAACACATTTGATCAATTCGATTTGTTTAAGCTTTTAAATGACTGGTGAAAGGATCTGACACTCAAAATCGTGAGACGTTTAGTAACTATCTACTTAAGGAGAATACTGAAGTCGTAATGAAAAAATATATATCATACGTTCACAGATAAAATATAAATAAACTTAAAAATATGAGGAGAAAATCAAACATATGAACTAACCAATCAGTGTCGGGCTCATAATTAATAATCTGACCAACTGGGTAGTCTCCTTTAGGATACAACTGACATACAGGAATAGAAGGAGGATCCGTCTGACGTATGACACCTGAATTTTCCGATTTAGACTTCTTGTTTGACGTTTTCACAGCAGAGGACATGTTTTCACCACAGTTAACTGAAGTGTCTCCCGTCTCATTTTCTTTCATCAGGGTCGCATCGTCACCATCTTCAACACAGACTTGATTAATGATATGTTATACATACTTGTGCATTTTACAGTCTTCTTTTTATGTTTCTTCTTCTTTTTCGTTACTAATTTTACGGGCGAATCCCCATTTAATTCTGGCAGTTTATCCATTTTTTGGCATACTTCGTCCAAACTTTTTTCTGATTCTTTATCTGGTTCTGAAGTGCACTCCATGGTTTGTCTGCAAGCTACACGGACCAAACAAAAGTATGGACACCACAGATAGTTACAAAGCCTTTGTTTTATGAATCAAAAAAATCCTAATACTAGCTCAAAACCTTGTAAAAATGCTGAAATGAAGCTGTTACTACGATTTTTAGAAGTGTGGTTTCTGCTGCCTGAAATCCCCCTAGTACGAAGAAAACCTATAACCATTATGACGACGGACTTCTGAGTAATTTTGAAAACAGTTGAATAAAAAGAATGATCGCGTGGATTGAGATATTTCTTAAAAAACCAGCGAAAAGTAAATATGATGAGAGTAACACTGATAGGTTAGTTAAGTGATGTACTAGTTAGTTAATAATACTTCTAGCAACATTCAAATAGGTTTACAGATGCTTCACACTGAATGACTTTTTAAATTAAGAACCGGTGGACTGTGGTACAAATACATTGTTAAAAAGCAAACAACGGCTGTGTGGATGACAGGACTTTGAACGGGTGATAATAACACTGTTCACAATATTATTCTACACTTGCTGTTCTTAAGAATTCATTTCCTCCTCGAATTACACTATTTATCACAAGTCATTTGTGACTAAATACGTTTGGTAACTAGGAGCGCTGAAAACGTCAATCGACATGGTAGCCTCATCACTTTAGATATCTGTACATAATTGGACCACGGAATGTCCTCAGAAAGCCAACCTGTAAATTGCATCAAAGACCATGGATGATGTTTTTAAATGGTGAGAATTTACTTAGAAACATTTTCAGGAAGTTCCTCGATGAGGAAAAAACTTTTTACAGTAAAATCTGACCCGGGCTCCTTCATGGCACTGTTGGGGTCCCAACCTTAAAGCCTTCACATCTTGCGGGTTGCCCGATGTGTATGCTTATATATATGAGTTGCATGGGTTACAGCTTGTGGTTATGTAGGTATATACAAAAGGTATGCCCCGAGACAGAAAAAAGAAGCGAAGGCTGAAATGTCTACCTTGTGACTAGTAAAAATAGCGGCCTGGACTATCAGGCCGAAGACATAACAAAAAGATGTGATAGCAAATACTAAGGAGAGGTGCTTATGCGCATACCATGAAGTGCACAGGCGAAAATATTGGTGCCTATGGTATGCATGCAATGTGTAAGAGACATTCAGTTGCAGGAAATAAGTATGAAGGGAACAGAACCATTGACATTTCCAAGCGGGCGAATATACCTATATGTATACTATGGAATGGATACCTAAAAACCTGTGTAACCGATGTACATGTAACGTATATTTCCTAACATTCTTATCTGTACATCGGATGCATTAGTGAAAACTAACGTGTTAACACAACATTAACGTGTAAACCTACAACACTAAGCTATTCTGTGTAAGATGGGCCCTGAGAAATGATGTCACCCTACCTAAGGAAATGTATGTACAATGGAAATAACAACCTCATCATATTGCGACGAGATAGAGATACACTTACAAAGTATATCAGTTGCGGTAACCCAAGTCCACTCGTGGTTAACTACAGGGAATTTAAATAAACATATATTACTGTAGCGAAACATGTCACTGAAGAAATCAGGAGGGTTGCTGAAAGTTCAAAACCCAATCCTGCCGCCCTCGACAATTTGTGTGATGAAGCCAGGTTGGTCGCTAGCCATGACTACTTTGGGGCAGTTTTCACTCAGGAACCTCCTCTAGAGAAAGAACCAGACCCAATTACAGAGTCAACAAACCAGCTGCTCACCGTGGACTTCGACCAAAACGATGTGCTTAAGGCTCTAAGCACCCTAAACATGGAGAAGTCAACAGGACCAGATGAACTACACCCCAAAATCTTGAAACATTTTGCCCAATATACCGCGACCCCACTGACTGTGATATTCAATATGTCACTTGACCAATTTGTGTTACCTATGGACTGGAAGGACGCAATCGTCACTCCCATACATAAAACAGGTCCACGACAAGTTCCATCGAATTACAGACCCGTAAGTCTCACCAGTGTTGAAATTAAAATACTGGAAAGAATAATCAAACGGACCATAACGTCATTTATGGAAACCAATGTCTTGCTGAACATGGCACAACATGGTTTTAGAAAGGGTCTATCCTGTACAACAAACCTCCTTATAGCTAGGGAGTTCTGGATTAATGCACTAGACAACGGAAACTCAGTGGATGTTGTCTACATAGACTTCAGTAAGGCATTTGACAAGGTGCCAACTAATAGACTGCTATTGAAGTTGGCAAACCTTGGTATTGCCGGACCTCTTTTAAAATGGATTAAGGATTTCCTAGTAGGTCGTAGGCAAAAAGTAAGAATAAATTCCAAGTGCTCCATCTGGAGACCAGTACTTAGTGGAGTACCCCAAGGTTCCGTCTTGGGTCCTTTACTTTTTATAATGTACGTAAATGATCTTACAAGTATAGTACAGTCTCCAATGTTATTATACGCTGACGACGTAAAAATTTGGCGAGTAATAACTGGAGACAAAGACTCATTTACTCTTCAGGCGGACTTAAGTAATATGATAAACTGGTCTAAAGAGTGGCTAATGCCTATCAACTCGGAAAAGTGTGTCTACATGCACTTGGGGGATTCAAAGGTTAATACGTACAACATAGGGGATGTGTCATTACCCGAAGTCCGGTCTCATAAGGACCTAGGGGTGACAGTGAGTAATGATCTTAAGACGACGGCCCATTGCCGGAAGGTCGCAGTTAAGAGGTTTCGAACCCCTAAGCTTGACAGTACCATGTTCACCACAGTATACACATCCTTAGTGAGAACTAAGTTAGAGAACTGTGTTCAGGCTGCAAGCCCCTGTTTAAAAGGTGACTCAGACATACTAGAAAAGGTACAGAGGGCAGCTACGCGTGCAATTCCGGAACTCCGGCGTTTATCATACAAAGAGCGGCTTGAAAAACCGAACCTCTTTACTCTGTCCTATCGCAGACTAAGGGGAGATCTAATATTGATGTACAGAATACTGAGAAATGATTTCGGACCTAACTTATTCTCTCTTTCTTCCCACTAGATCGGGACACCTCAGAGGACATAGCAGGCGAGTAGAAAAGCCAAGAACGAACAAAATACCCGTGGTATACAGGTTTTCACACCGAGTCATCAATACTTGGAACCTGCTGCCTGAAGCAGTGGTGTCCGCACCTTCAATTGACTCTTTCAAGAGAAGACTGGACACTCACAGAAGCATACTATATTGTTGAGCCTAGTAGTCGAAAACTTTGAGTCTCTGTAAATAATGAGTTCTTTGGAGACACCATAACCTACTGTCAACATAGTCACATAATGTAATAGGCTCTGATTCAATAGACTTTGAAAGTAAACTTCGGCTAACCGCTGTGCAGCTTGTCTAGCCACTGAAAATCCTCACTCTACTGAATTTGATTATCATAAGATTAAAAATACCATTAATTGTAATTACATCTCAAAAGGCTTAAGCAATACCGTAAGGAAACCACCAACATTAACAATGGTCTGAAGTGTCTCCCCAAAATAGTGCCAGCCTTTGGGGGAAAGTACCAATTTTCATGACTTTCGTTAAAAAAAGCCTTAAATTCCACTCATAAATCCGGAGACTGAGTTATTGGGAGCATAGACCCAAAGTTACCGGCCTCCCAATGAGATCATATTCACGGGGTGGGTTAGTGAGTCTTGAAACACAGAACTTCCGGGAAACTCAATAGTCTTCACCACATACGGCTTGACCAACATTACATGACCTCAACACTGCATGATCCCAATCTCCCTATTTTTGGGGTTTTCACCAAAGTTTGGGGAAATATTAGGGAACGAGGTGATTTTAAGCAAAAGCTAAATAGAAATTAAGTGTGTACAGAATAGATGCATATATACATGATTTGTAATATGCATTTGTAATCCTAAGCTATATGTCTGAGAGGAGATATTCTAGGTAAACCATCTTACATCACAAAACAGTATCGCTGGTAACGCAAATAACCGAAATCACGCTCATAGTTTCAAAGTGCAATACTGCCTTCAGTCTGCAGTCATAAGGATAGAAAGTTTATCGACCTATATTAGTCCCTGAAGCTTGTGGAACTTTGGAGGTCCAATCTCGTTTTGTATATACCAACGGATATGGTTCATCCTGCCATACTGAGGGAGGCAGCCCCAATCCTGGCAACGCCGCTTAGCGTGATGTTTTCACACTCGCTAAGCCGAGGCAAATTACCGGAAAATTGGAAGTTGGCTCACATCACACCAATTTTCAAAGGTGGTTGACGCAATGAACCTTCAAGTTATCGGCCGGTGGCTCTTCTGTCATTACCTTCAAAACTCATGGAGTCCCTGATATGCGACGGTTTAAACGACTATCTACTGTCCTTAAATTTCTTATCACCCCAACAGCATGGTTTCAGGAAGGGTTACTCTTGTATAACCAACCTGCTGACTGCGGCGGACAGATGGGCGAGCATCCTCGATTGCTTTTAATAAGGTTAACCACTTGTGTCTTATCAACAAGCTCAAACGACTAGGTATCAAACCACCTCTAATCGACTGGCTTTCTTCATACCTAAAAAATCGACACTTTAAGGTTAGGGTTAATTTCAATTTATCTCAGGCTATGGAATGTCCTAGTGGGGTCCCCCAGGGCTCAGTACTAGGGCCTCTTCTCTTCTTGATCTACATAAATGATCTTCCTCGACAGGTAACGTCAGACTTATTACTTTTTGCCGACGACGTGAAACTTTGGAGAGAGATACGCAACCAAGACGATACACAGGCACTTCAGGAGGATCTGACGCGACTTCAAAGTTGGGCAGACGATAACGGACTTACCTTTAACACTTCAAAGTGTAAAGTAGTCCATCTGCGACATGTCGCAAACTACAGTTACAACTTAGGAAACTCCTCTCTAGTAGTATCCCAAGTCGAAAAAGATTTAGGAGTCCTGGTGCCCCATGATTTGAAGTCTTACGCTAACTGTGACAAAAATGCCTTCCGAGAAAACCTTGCACTGGTAACGTTGAGGCGCATTTTTGTCCAGTTTGACGGAAGAACTTTCCATATAATCTTCAATAGTACGGAAACATAGTACTCCCCCCTCACTCCAAAAGGACAAGGTCACTTTGGAGCGTATCCAACGGCGAGCCACGAAATCAGTTCGAGGACTCAAATCTAAGCCTTACGAAGAACGCCTCCGTTCACTAGACCTTTACCCAATAGAATACAGGCGTCTTAGAGGTGATTTATTAATGGCTTATAGTATTCTTAACACTTCTAATCATCCTCTTAAACACCTACTTAAGCTTAGTTCGAATAATAACCTAAGGGGTAACACCCAGAAACTGGAAACAGAACATAGCAAGACGGAATGTAGACACAACTTCTACTCCTTAAGAGTTGTGAAAAGCTGGAATTCGCTGCCGGCCGAGCTAGTCCAAGCGACTTCTCAGGAGTCCTTCATGAGGCAACTTGACCTATTCTTAAGAACCAAGGACAGCATCACACTATGATTTAACAATTTCTTTTCCTCTTTTATTGTTAACATACCTAGGTTCCTGCCTGGAGGATTTGGTGATCCCCTGCTACTAGACACGGAAGCCTGTTAAGCGAAAGCTTCTTCTATTCCGTCCACAACCATTTGAACCATTTGAACGGAAGATTTCAGATTTGTGTTGTATGGACAGAAAGGCTATGGCCTTTGTTATTCCTTTTCTAGTAAACTTGTGTAATTGTCCAGCCTTCTCTTGAAAGAGTTAATTGAATATACGGATACCACTACTTCAGGTGACAGGTTCCAAGTATTAGTGACTCGGTATGAAAGGCTGTATGCTACGGGTATTTTGTTCGTTCTTGGCTTTTCTACTGGCCTGCTATGTCCTCTGAGATGTTCTCGGGCTTAGTTCTCATTAACTTATAAGTTAGTGAGAACTAAGCCGATAGGGTTCTAAACCCCTTAGCTGCGACCTTCCGGCAATGGTTCGTCGTCTTAAGATCATTACCCACTATCACACCTAGATCCTTACCAGACCGGACCACGGGTACTGGCACTTTCCCTATGCTGTACCTATTAACCATTGTATCCCCAAAGTGAATGCAGACACACTTTGCCGCGTTTATAGGCATCAGCCACTCTTTAGACCAGTTTATCATATTATTTAAGTCTGCCTGAGGAGCACATGCGTCTGTGTTTCCAGTTATTACTCGCCAGATCTTGACATCGTCAGCGTATAATAAAATTTGAGACTGTACTATACTTGGGAGGTCATTTACATACCGTATAAAAAGTAAAAGATCTAGGACAGAACCTTGAGGTACTCCACTAAGTACTGGTCTCCAGGTGGGGCACTTGGAATTTGTGCTTACTTACTGTCTACGACCTACTAGGAAATCCTTAAGCCATTTTAAGGGAGGTCCGGTAATACCAAGATTTTCTAACTTCATAACAGTCTATTTGTTGGCATCATGTCAAATGCCTTACTGAAGTCTATGTAGACAGCATCCACTGATTTTCCGTTGTCTTGCGCTTTTATCCAATATTCTTTTGCTATAAGGAGGTCTGCTGTACATAACAATCCCTTTCTGAAACTGTGTTGTTTGCTGTTTAACAGGTTATTGGTTTCCTATAATGTTTTGAATTATTTGAATTATAGCACGAACTAAGAGTCCTAGAAATAACTCAGTAGAATCAGAATTACAAGTCTTAATATTAGTTGCAATAAGATGAACATTAGTATTACAGACTAACTGAATATGTCTAATATCACCACATTTAAAGCACTTAGAATTACGAAATTTACATGAATTCGAAGAGTGGAACTTGCCATAGGACAAACACTGACTAAATGCATTGCAGCTCCTCAATGAATTGTCTGCATAATCTTGAGTATGAACTGGGTTGAGATGACGTAATGTAGTGTAATTTTTATATCCTCATGAATCATTTTACGAGATCTTCCTCCTTTACGACATTCGAAATTTGTATACTGAACATAGTCTAGTAGCAGTTCCTTGAGAGCTGTATAAGGAAGCGAAATGGGCTTTTCCGGCATAACCAGAGTTCTTAATAAGCTGTATGCTTCTTTTCCAATGAATGTGAGGAAGCGTGCCACAATATTAACATCCTCATCATCTTCCTTGGTCATAGCCCAGATTTCGAACCTTTCAAAGTAATCTTCAAAAGCTTCCGAAGTTGGATGAATATCTAACTTTTCCATTACAGGCTCCATCGCGACGCCAATATAATGTTTTGAATTATTTGAATTATAGTACAAACTAAGAGTCCCAGAAATAACGCAATTGAATTAAGAAGTGAGACACAAGCACAAACGAATGTATTGTATTTGGAATTCGAAATCGAGCATTCAACAAGTACAAAGGTATTATTAGTTCGTTCAAACACCGCATTTCCACAAGTGTCATTGTGGTCTGTTTGATTATTCTTTCCAATATTTTAGCCACAACACTGACGAGGCTTACAGGTCTGTAGTTCGATGAAAGTTTTCTTGGTCCTTTTTTATGTATGGGAGTGAGGATTGCATCCTTCCAATCCATAGGTAACACACCTTTGTGAAATGACATATTAAATACCGCGGTTAGTGGGGCTGTAATATACTGTGCAATTTGTTTCAGGACTTGGGGGTGTAGTTCATCTGGTCCTATTGACTTTTTCACGTCTAAGGCGCTAAGAGCTATAAGTACATCGTCTTTACCAAAGTTCACGATGAGCAGGTGCTTTGTTGACTCCGTATTTGGATTTGTTTCTTTGTCTAGAAGAGGTCCCTGAGTGAAAACTGCCTCAATATAGTTAGCCATAGCCTCTGCTTTTTCTTGATCTTCGTCTATCATTTCAGATCCACTCTCCCCCTCAGTTGGGTTGGGAATCCAATGGTGTATCTTTGTTCTGTAATTTTTATACGAGACTAGTCTCTTAGGCAGCTTGATTGTAGATTGTGCCAAAGTCATTTTAAGTTTTCTTTGAGCTTTTCGAAGCTTAATTATTCACTCACTTCCTACCATCCTATAGCGTTCCATAGTACTCACTGTGCCAAGGTTGACGGCAGCGTTCCAATATCTCTTCTTTTGTCTTAGTAAACGTTAAATATCGCTGCCTATCCAGGGACGGCCGTGCTTCTTCTTCTTTGGGACTGTTCAGCAGACATATGGTTGAGCTACTCGATTGTATAATTGCCTGAAATGCATCCATGCCTCTTCGACTGATGCCCCTGAATCAATTATCCAGTGTTCAGTTGATGCTGCAGGGTTTGCCGTCTCCATGTCTGCCTTTCATATGTTAGGACGGGCCGGGGCAATTATTTGACAGGCCATCTCAGTCATGAATTTGAATAAGATAACTGCATGATCAATCCTAAATAAATGGTTGCTCTGGTTGTCATAAGGAGCATCGGCCTCGTGACTTCCGAAGGAACTGGACTTTCATCATGAGGCGTCATAACTCTTCCAAATGAAGACCTAACTCCCAGGGCGCAGTTTAAAAGATTTGAATAATTGTACTCAATGTAATACTAGAATCAGCAGAGACTTTGTAGAACAACATATTTTGCACGACCAACGTGATAATGGCTTGCAGCACCTTTTATATCCAACTAGTGTGAGCCGGGTGTACACATTGTGATACTAATTATTGCAGCCATCACATTGCTTCTCATCATCGGCAAGGAATCAGCAAGCTGGTCTGCCACGACGCTGTTTTACTTGCACCACAAATTCGTTTTGTAATTTCACAGTGAAAACTGATCTCTAGATAAAGTGTCTCTCAAAACTTTATGAGTGATAGACACTGAACACAAACAAAAACAGAGGTTTGTGTATAACTGAACCTAACAACTATAAAAAAATCCGACTTCAGTAGTTACAAAAAGACTTTAACACCTATGGATACAAACAATACTCAAAGATACACTCAACGATGGAGAATAAACACCAGTTTCCTTGGTGTTTTTTTGTATATGTACTCGTAAGGTACAAATGACAAACTTCTCTAGTACTCTTGGGGATTACTTTAAATAAAATAAATTCAATTAAAGCAAAAACAGCAGTCTGGATACATAAT